CCTCATCGATGATGGAGGGTCGGTGGCAAAATGTAGCAGCAGGAAGGAGGAACCGTTTTGGCCCCAACCCCCTTGCGCGCTGCAGAGCGCCTTAGAGCGTCTGGCCTTTGACGGCGATGGTGAACTCAGGGGGTGGAGGGAATGAGGCCGAGGAGGAGGAGGAGAAGGAGGACGTGAGGAGGAGGAGGAGGAAGAGGAGGAATATGATGACGATACTGATGATGATGATGATGACGAGGAGGAGGAGGAGGAGGAGGATGGTGATGGTGATGGTGATGGTGATGGTGATGGTGATGGTGATGGTGATGGTGATGGTGATGGTGATGGTGATGGTGATGGTGATGATGATTGATGATGATGATGGAGGAGGAGGAGGAGGAGGAGGAGGAGGAGGGAGAGGAGCAATAGTAGAATGCGGGGGAGGAGGAGGAAGAGGAGGATGAAGAGCAGGAGGAGTAGGAATAGGAGCAGCAGGCGGAAGAGGAGGAAGAGGGAGAGGAGGATTAGCCGGAGGGAAAGGAAAAAGGAGGATGGTGAGCATGGGGAAGGGGAGGAGCCCCTCGGGCATCGACCCCCCTTGCGTGCGCCGCAGAGGAGTACTGCAAGAGCAACCCGCACACGGCTGGATGCGGCGACGAGGCAGGGCCTGCGCCGCTTGCGCCAGGAGTAGTGCCAGGACGCTGAAAGGGAGCCGTCTCGGAGGTGGCTCGATGTTCCTCGGGTCCTTCCATGGCTGTTCCTCTAGCCCTCCTCGTGCACGCAGGCGCCTTGGGGGGCCAAGAGGGGGATCCCTTCCCTGTTGGATCGTTCCGTGTTTCAGCAGCCTGGCTGTGGGGATAACGAGGAGGGACAGCGTCCAGCGTGGGCGAGGGAGGAGGAGGAGGAGGAGGAGGAGGAGGAGGAGGAGGAGGAGGAGGAGGAGCAGGAGGGATGAGGAGGACCAGAGTGGACTCAAGATGCACCAACGATGCTGCGATGCCCCCCACCCGTCCTAGGGCCTCTCCCCATGGGTCATTGCAGGCATTCCTTTTTTCCACCGAGAGAAGTGCCCCCCTTGACAAGCGAGCCCCCGTTCACGCGAGGCCTCATGCGTAAAGGATCCGCTCCCCGCCCTTCTAGTAGCTACAAGCAACGCAAAGAGGTAGAGCCATAAAGTTCAAGGAAGTGTTCAGCGAGACACTCGTTTTTTAAAGCCCGGCAGCCCATCACATCCACCATCCCCCGGCGTCTTCTCCGTCTCCGCATCTGTCTCCTGGCCTGTCCCCTCGTCGCCCGCCGCCTCCTCCTCTTCTACTCGATGTCCCTCCTCATGATCCTCCTCAGGCACCCCCCTTTTCCTCCCATCTTGCCCCTTGCTCCTTCTCCCCTCTTCCTCCTCCTCCTCCTCCTCCTCCTCCTCCGTCTCTTTCGCCACATCTTCCGCATATTCTTCTCGATCCTCATTCCCAGCATTGTCATGATCATCATCAGCAGCACCACCAGCAGCATCAGCACCATCACCATAATCAGCATGCCAACCAGCAGCAGCAACATCGTTAACATTACCATCGGCTGCCTCCTCCTCCTCCTCCTCATCATCATCATCATCAGCTCCGACATCTGTATCATCCCTCTCCCCCTCCTCTTCCGTTCCTTTTCTCCCCTCCTCTTTCTTTCTTCTTTCTCCTCCCCTCGTCTTCCTCCTTCTCTTCCTCCTCTTCTTGCGCCTCCTCCTCCTCCTCCTCCTCGTCCTCCTCCTCCTCCTCCTCCCCCCTCCTCCTCTTCTGCCTCTTCGTCCAAAGCCATGTTGGCCCACGGCTTTGGTATTCTCATTGGGCAAAGTGATTACCGCTGGTCCGCGGCCCGACTTCAATCTCTCAAAGCCAGTCCGCTCTTATCCCTCACAGTGGGCAGTCCGCCCTGCCCTCGGAGTCCGCCAGCCGTTCTGAGCATTCTATCCAGCGGGGCCCATGCCCAACCCCCCTTCCGGTGCAGATGGTGTTGGCGGTATCAGCGGACACAAAGAAGGAGGCCTTTTTGGGCGCAACCATTGTTCTGCAAGCACTGCTGGCCAGACAGCACGGAAGACAAGCGGTGCAGCAGGGCGGTCATTGGGCATTGTTCGTCCTGCAAGCAACCAAAAAGCACGGCCTTCGCAGGAGACGCCAGCGATATCAACCAAGCCGGTCAAAAGTAGACAGCCGGCGGTGGACTCCAAGCTTGATGGGGGAGGCCAGGAGGCTCAGGGGAGAGCTGGCGTCCTTCAGGCAGTCCGTTCCAACGTCAGCGCAAGGGGCCGACGGCACAGCGATTGAGTTTGACGAGGTGTGCAAGAAGACCATGGTATTTGACGACGGCTCAGCTACGAAGGAATTTCTTGCCAAGCAGAGTGGCCTTCGGCAGCATCTCACCGAGGGAAAGAGTTTGGACACACGTTTCAAGGATATGCCAGTCCAGCATGCGAAGTTAGACAAGAAGCGCGAGAAGCAAGAGCAGGTGTGCGCAGAGTGGCAGCCCAAGATTGCCGAGACGCAAGCCGAGTTTGAGAAGGCGAACACAGTGCTCGACGAGTGTGAACTCGTCGGGCTTGACGCGGAGAGGCGCACCTCGGTGGCAGGGGCGCCCAAGCTGGCTCGGGGGCCAAGCCAGTACTGCAGCAGGCCACCACGGGAGGTTTCCGCATGGAGCGGAGCGGCGACATCCTGCAGGGCTTCGGTAGCCGTGGCGACTTGGTGAGGAGGTGGCACGGCTGCCTGGGGGGGGGGAGGCAAGGCGGCAGAGAGGAGGCCCACAGGGCCAAGCCGAGGCCCGGAGCTGAGGTGGCCAGGGGTGCAGCGGCTGCCGCGGCGGCGGCGGTCGCGTCGGCGGCGGCCGCGCGCGCGGGCGCGTGCTCGGCGCAGCCGCCCGCGGCGCTGCAGCCCCCGCCGCCGCAGCCAACGCCGTGGGCTCCGCGTGCAGCGACGGCGTCCCCCGAGGTATTGCGAGCCCTCTTGGGGGCGGGCCCCGGCGAGCAGGCCGAGCTTCGAAGGCCGCCCAGGAGATTGCAGCGATGCGGCGCCAGACGGGCCGCCTCCTGCAACCCAAGCAGTCTGTCGGCGTGGCTGCCAGCGTTGCCGTCGAAACGTGTGGTCTCGCGTGCGAGGGTCGTCGGGCTGCGCGGCAGGAGGCACATGCGCAACCTTGGACACGGCGTGCGCTGCCGAAAGGTCATCAGAGCCATGGGACCCAAGCGTGGGTCCCCTTTAGCTGCCCGCAGGTCCAGGACCCATATTCCCAGGAAGGCTGCGGGGGCAAAAACAGCTGCGCCCTGGAGGACGGGGTGGCTGCCAGGAGGAGGCCGCGGGGCTTCTGTGTCGGGGGCGGCTAATGATTCGGTTCGGAGTTCGAGGGCTCTTGCTGGGGGCCGTATGGAAGTGGAAGGGTCGAGCCACGCGGCGTCTTCCTGGTTCGCTCCTCGGGATCCGAGCTCGAACCCTGTGCATGATGGCATTGCGCCGCTGCTTGTAAGATGCTGCTGCTGGGAACGGGGCGAGCGCGGCCCCGACTCAGACATCATAGTTGTTTTGCGCAGGCCAGGGACACTTTGCGCGAGCAGCCTAATAGGGGTAAGGTCAGAGGACCTCGTGGCGCTGTGTACCTGTCGGTGCTGACAGTGATTATACCCCGCCACCAGCTGAGAACTGACCAGGGGGGCATCATCTGTTTGTTCGGCGCCTGCCCGCGCGATATCTGAGAGAGGCCGCGCGAAGGGATGCGCCGCGCTCAGGTCGCGCTAATTGTGGCGGGGGGGGGGGGGCTGAGGCCTCTGGAGGTGAGTCTGTCTGGGGGCGCGCTTTGAGAGTGGGCGGTCTCTCGGTCAAAGAGGCGGTTCGTCAGGCCACGCTTTGGGGTCCTCTTAGGAGGTGGCGTTTGCCGACATCACGTAAGTTTCAGCATGTGTAGTGATAGTAAGATGTGGATGTTGCAAGGAGGCCGAAGGGGCTTCAGGCCACCAGCAGCGCGGCTGCGTCAAGACCTGGGAGGGGCCTGGCGGCCCAGGAGAGCGTCCTGCGATTCCTGTCGATGGCCTCGGACATGGGATCCGCCTAATCGACAAGGGTCGATGTTCCCCTCTCGACTTTGGTACTTTCGGGTTGGCGCACGGGGCCCCTTGTCTCCCCTTGGAGCCCGCTCAGCCCTGCCCCAGCGAAGCTGGAGGGCTTCTCCCGGGGCGGGGTGCGCCGCCCTTGGGGCTTCAACGTTTTACAGACGTGTATGGTTTGGCCAGCGTCGTTTCCGAGGCGACCCGATGCGGGCGGTCGGCGGTCGAAATATTCCTTTCGGCTGGTTTGAGATGGTGAGCGGTCAGTTCTCCGCGGTCAAAGAAGACAATGGGTGGTCTCCGTTGCTTGCCGACGGACAGAGCCGTCACGCCAGTGCCTAGAGAAAAGTGCTTAAATTGTGCCAGGGCGTTTCCGTTGACGGTCGACGCCCCTCGTTCGGGCGGACTCCCGCGCAAGGGGACCTCGAGCCCATTCTTTGTGACCTAGATATCCCGAGCAATGGTCGAGAACCGTCCAGGGTTGGATTTCGATGGCAATATGTGGGCCGACCTGCCTGCGAAGTTCGGCGCCAGTAATCAACCGGCGCTCTAGGGAGCGGTCACGGCCTTGAGAGGACAGCTGGCATGCGTCAGGCAGACCTGCGGTTTTGTATCTATAGCTCCCAAGCTTGCTGCGAATCAGGCTGAGGGCCCTAGCCAGGCTCCGGGGCGATGAGAGAGTGGGCCGCTTCAACTCGGTTTGTTTTCTCATGATCTGGAAGTGGTGGAAGGCGGGGGGGTTCGTTGCACGTGGCGCCCTTGCTCGGAGCAACAGGGCATGAAGTGTCAGCCCACCCAGTTCCACCTCTATCTTTCTCGTGTGTGCGCGGAGCGGCACGGAGGCCCAGGCTTGGGCATCTCTACGGTACGAAGGCCATGTTGTCCAGCTTTTTGGTTAGGACCTCGTGTGCAGAATCTGTGGCGCGTTGTCTCACTCAGGCACCCATCTGGTGGGGGCTGTTGTGCCCGTACAAGGGCGAGGCCTCAGCAACCCATCGGCGGCGTTTGAACGAGGTGCTCGCTGGTCAAAGGCCCCGCTGGTAGGCACGCAGCGGCCTGCATCGGGCTCTTGCTGACGCAGGAGGCCGTGGACTGCTGGTTGAGCGGCGCTGTTTAGCGGTCCCTGCTCCCTTCTCTGAGGTTGCTGGTTCTTTGCTTTCAAGCCAGCGCTCGGCTTGGATACTGCTCTTCAGCTGTTCCCTGTTCCGTTCTCCGCCTCCTCCTCCGCTTCTCTCCTCCTCCTCCTCTTCCGCCTCCTCTAGCTCTTCCTCCTCCTTCTCCTCCCCCTCCTCCATTTCCTTTTCCACAACTCCTCCCCGTCGCACCCCGCGGCGCGTGGGCAGGGCGGGCCGGGCGTTTCGCCTGAGACACCCTCACCATTTATCAGACTTAAAGCTGACCGTAGCACCCCGCAGATGCAGAAAAACAGTGACGGGGCAGCGATGACGTCGGCAGTCTGCGGGCCTCTGAAGAGGCCCGCCGCGGGCGCCGAGCTTCTACAAGTTGTGCAGTGAACCCGCCGCAGGCGCCGAGTGTTTCGTTAAAGCCATGTGCGTGGGCTGCGGGGTGGGTCGCGGGTGGGTCGCGAATGGGTCGCGGTGTGGGTCGCGTGCAGGTCGCGGGGTGGGTCGCGGTTGGGTCGCGGGTGGGTCAGGACGTGGGGGGGACGACGCGACAAAGAACAAAACAACTACAACAACAACACCACCAACAACAACACTAGCAGTACGAGCAACACTAACAACACCACGAACAACACTCACAACAACAGCAACCACAACAACAATCCGCACCGCATCATCTCATTTCAGCCACGCACCCAGGAACAGTGAATGACCGTTCGGCCCTCTCACTATAATAAATTGCCAGAGCTTCACGGATGAAGCGGGCCGTTTCCAACATACGGTTCGCGCCTTAGCGCCATGCATGTTCGTTCCAAACATGCGCAAGAGCTTCGCGGATGGATAGCTGGCCGTTCTCAATAGTTGGTTCTGGCACCAGTGCTGCGCGCATTCGTTGGAAAACATGTGCGAGGGCTTCGTGGATGGAGGGCGGGCCGTGTTCAGCATGTGGTTCCCGCCTCGTCGCCTCAGCGCCGCGCACATGCGTTGTAAAAAATTGCGACAGCTTCACGGATGCAAGGCACTTCTTTTCAAACCGTGGCTCTGGTCCCAGCGCCGTGCACATGTTCTGCTAAAGGTGGGTAAGGGCTTCACGGATGGATCGCGGTTTCGTTTTCAATTGTGACTCTCGCCTGAGCGTCGCGCACCTTCGCTTCAAGAGTTCACGGCCGCTTCAATGGCCTTCATGGCTAACGTACCAGACATGGTGTTTGAGCATGATGTCGGACTGCCAGGACGCAATAGTTACGTTGATTCGTGGCGTTCTACTCCCAAGAACGGTGTTCTGACTTGACTCAGGACCTTCAAGACGCAACAGTAATGGTGATTCGCGGCGTTGAAGTCCCGGGAATGGTGTTCTAACACAGTTGCGTGCGGGTTTCCAAACGGTTATTTTCCAACGGGGCGCTTCTTTCATTAAACATGAATGAAGCTTTATAGGATCCGACGAACAGGGAACTTGGAGAGAGGGTTGATTGCAATATCGTTGAACGTCGTGGGGTTACACTGGTCCTCCTCCTACTCCGCCCGCCCCTCTCCTCTCTCCTCCTCCTCATTTTCCCTCATTTCTCCTCCTTTTCCTCCTCGCCCTCCTCATCCTCCTCGTCATCCTTCTCTTCTTCTTCTGGCCCCCAAAGCTGGAGGCGGACGCGGACGATGGCGCGGAGTCGCAGCTGATGGGCCACCGGACCCTGAGGCGGCGCACAGAGCCGACGGAGACGAGGCAGCAGCTGATCGCCTCCGAGTTGCGGGAGCGCTTTGAGGCGAAGGAGGACCCTGTCATCGTCATGGTCGTCCTGGTCGTGTTGGCCGTCGTCGTCGACAGCGTTGTGGTCGCCCTCGTCGTGGTCGTCGTGGTCGTCGTGGTCGTGGTTATGGTGGTCGTGTTCGCCGTGGTTGGCCGCCGTCGACCTCCTCGTCCTCCTCCTCCTCCTCCGCCTGCTCCTCATCGTCCTTCTCCTCCTCCTCCTCCACCTCCTCCTGCTCCACCTCTCTTTCATCCTCCGCCCCGTCCTCCCCTCCTCATTATCATGCGCCTCCTTCTTCCCTCTCATCATCGCCCTCCTGAAACTGCTCCTCCTCCTGCTCCTTCTCATCCTACTTCTCCTCCCCCCTCCTCCCTCCTCGTCCTCCCTTCTTCCTCCCCGAACTCCTCCTTCTTCACCTCGTGCACTCTCCTCCTCCGCCTCCTCCTTCTCCTCTCCTCCTCCTCCCTCCTCCTCCCTCCTCCTCCTCTCCTCCTCCCTCCTCTTCCTCATCCATCCTCGCCTTCTCCCTCTTCTTTCTCTCCTCCTCCTCCTCCTCCTCCTCCTCCTCCTCCTCCTCCTCCTCCTCCTCCTCCTCCCCCTTCCCCCCTTTTCCCGCTCCTCCTCGCGCGCGCGCTGAGGCGCTCGCGGGGGGGGGGGGACTTCGCCGCAGCGGCGCCTCGCCGGAGGACGGCGGGCCAGGGAGGACACCCAGGCCTCCGGCGTCACGAGGAAGCAACTCGTGTGCGTGTGTGACGTTGTGCCCTCTGCCCCTCGTGTCCCGCTGTGCGCCAGCGCGCCCCGCCACTGTTCTCAGAGCCCCGAAGCATCAGGGGTAACTCGGGTCAGGGCTAACTCGGCTTCGTTTTTCGGGATTTCGAACCCGACTTACCCCGGACCCGACTTACCCCGGATAATTCGGGCGTCCAGAGCCCCAAATCATCAGGGGTAACTCGGGTCAGGGCTAACTCGGGGTGGTTTTTCTGGATTCCGAACCCGACTTATCCCGGACCCGAGTTACCCCGGATAGTTTGGGCGCCCAATGTTCGACCTCCGTCCGACCTCGCTGCGGCCGCTGACCAGACCAGCGTGTGGTGTTGTGCCTCGGGGGGGGCACGTCCAGACTGTTGGGGCCGTCAGAGCATGGGCCCGACAGCTCTCGGGGGCCCACGTTTTGATGAACAAGTATTCGACGCGGAGATCTCCATATCGAATCCTTTCCTGCGCGTTCTCCGTTGCGCGTCTGAGTATGAACGATTGCGGGTCTTAGCGCGACGGAGCATGAATGGCTGAGCAAGAGCGAGGCTGTATGAGGGCGAGTTTGTGTATGCGTACTGACATGCGTATGTGTCTAAGTCGGAGCCGGCCCGAACACAGCGTTTCTAACACGTACAAGTAACAGGCCCGTGATACACCTTCAGCGGCGGCTGCCCCCTGGGCAGTTCAAGTGCCATGCCTGCCTCATCGCGGCGAACACGGGGCTATGAACATCGACGCGCCCAGGGCCGATAACGGACGCTTCGCTTGGGATATCCCCACCATTTGGACGCGAACGGGCCCGTTAGGCATCCCTTGGCGGCTCCCCTGTCGGGTGGCTGAAGTGCCAGGCGTGCCACAGCGCGGTGGCCACGGGGCGCTGACAGAGGAGACGCGTCCGGGACCGCTCACGGGGCGTTCGGGGCAGCCGCACGCGGAGGACGAGGAGGACGAGGAGGACGAGGAGGACGAGGAGGACGAGGAGGACGAGGAGGAGGAGGAGGAGGAGGAGGAGGACGAGGAGGAGGAGGAGGAGGAGGAGGAGGAGGAGGAGGAGGAGGAGGAGGAGGAGGAGGAGGAGGAGGAGGGGGGGGGGAGGGGGGGGGGCAGGAGGAGGAGCAGGGGGGGGGGCGCTGAAGAAGGAACCCTTTTCGTTGGGGAGGGGCTCGGTGTTCCTCGATTGCCTCACAGTTCGCCTCGGGTTTCCTGAGGTTTCCCATGGGGAATCGAGGTTTGACTTATGAGAAAAAGGGGCCTCGTTCCTCATTTAGGGTTCCTTAGGTCAACGCCCCGACTGGATACCCGCTGGCGGCTCATCCCTGAAGGGTCCAGATTCCATGGCTACACCGCGAAGATCGCAGGGTTCTGAAAAAGACGCGCCTAGGGCTGCCAAGGGGAGTTTCGCTCGAGACATCCCCATCTGGACACGAGCGGGCTGGTGATAACCCCCTGGAGGCTCCCCAGTGGGTGGTCAGCATGGCCTGCCTGCTTCACCGCTGTGATCATGAATTTACTGATGATTTGCATGCGGCATGCGCGAATGCGTACATAAGAAAACCAGGGCGTGAGTGAGTCTGGGTATGAGTGAGTCTGTGTGCGAGTGAGTCTGAGCACGAGTGCTCTGAATGTAGGTGAGTTTAACAGTGACTAAGTTTGAGCATGCGTGTCTGAGTGTAGATGTGACTATGCATAAGTCTGAGTATGGGTAAGTATGAGTGTGAACGATCTGAATGTGAAATGGTCTGTGTGAACGAGTCTGAGTACCAGTGGGTCTGAGTATACTTGGACAATTATGAGTGTGAGTGGTCGTGAATATGACTGAGTCTGAGTATGAGTGGACTTGAGTGTGAGGGAGTCTGCGTGTCAGTGAAAATGATATGAGTGAGTCTACGTGTGTGTCTGAGTGTGGGCGGCTCTGTGGAGGCAGGATCCGGGACGAGTGAGGCCGAGAGGTTGCACGAACAACGAGGACCCCATACCTAGGACATGGGGTCAAAGCGCGACATCGGAGGTCTGGGGAGGACTGGATCCCCACACTGGGCGGCTGGCCCACTGGTCCCAACACGTACCCCGCGGAGACCAAGACCGTGAATCGCTCGTGCAGGGAGGTGGTTTACCAGGACAAGTGCCACAAGATGATCACCTGGGCCATGAACAAGGGCATGAGGGAGCACCCGGAGTGGTACCTGGCTCAGTGGGCACTGGAAACGACAGGGCATTTCTTACCGTTACCAAAAAGTTGCACTTTGATGTTGAGAACGGTTCGGCGGAAGAGAAAACATTGCTCCTGAAGTGGAACCAGAGCCGCAACCGGATCCAAATCCGAAACGGCAACAAGGTTTGCAACAAACATGGCGACTGGGTTGCCAACAAGAATAGGAGAACGGAGCTCGGAGAAAGACGGCCCTGCTGCTTCCAGGACCCACTGAGGTACCCCGGCCTCAATTTGGACTCCAATTGGACGGAGTACCAGGAGTTCATCCACGGCAGGAAGCCCGACATCTGCCCCGAGCCGTGCTGGCACGTCGAGAACGCGACCGCCCGCCTGGCGCAGGACCCGAGCGCGCCGCCGGATGGCGTCCTTCTCCTCTTCCTCCTGCTCCGCCTCCTCCTCGTCCTCCCTCCTCCCTCCTCCCTCCTCATCCCTCCTGCTCCGCCTCCTCCTGCTCCGCCTCCCTCCTCACCCCTCTGCTCCGCCTCCTCCTCCTCCTCCTCCCTCCTCCCTCCTCTTCCCTCTCCATACGGTCAGGAGCTTTGACTTGGCGCGTCGGGGCGCTGGTTCTGGCCCACCACGCTTCGGCGCGGCCCGCCATCCACGTCCCGGTCGCCGAGCGTCGACGTCAACGCCCCGAGTGTTTCCCGGCCTCCCGCCTCGCGGAGCGGAGCGACGCGCTATCAGTTCGCAAGGCATTGCGTGTCGCCGGGGTCGCCGCCGCGACATGGTAAGCATCAGTTCCTGACCGGATCCCTTTCTTCCTCGCCCTTCTCCTCTGGGTGCGTGGCCCTCTGGGGCGGCACTCGTGTCTGCTCTGCGTGCGTGTCCCAACTTTTGAACTGTTTGCCGAATGCGCATGTTGCCTTGTGAGCACCGTTTCGACTTGGTCCGCCTGCTTTCGTGTGAGGTCTCGGCCACGGCAGCCGTTCGTTGTAGGGATGATCTCTTCTGACAGAAGGTATATCAACCAACGGGTACCCCACGCAAGTTTCTTATCCCCCGATGGTCCCAGACACCCACGGAGGCCTTGGGGCACCGTAGGGCCCTCAAAGATCGACGAAGAACGTGCCCCGATCTTTCTCCCAGCAAGATGTGATGTCGTATGTGCCTACTGTATACCCCTCCCCCTGGCCCCTTTCCTCTGAGTCATTGGACGGCCTTGGGCTGCTCTCGAGCATGCTCTGTGTATGAACTGGCCAGTGCGTGTTCTGTCGTCTAGGCGCCCTCTCGCTTCGGTCCGCTTCCGCTCCTAGGGCTCGATCACGGCATCTGGTTAGAGACTGTCTCCTCCTAATGTCGGGATGCTTTGCTTGGCGTGTTGCGGTGGTGGACACGGTGGCGCGCCATTCCTTGCAAGCGGATAGCGTGTCGCTCCGCTCCGCGTGGCAACACGTTGGGAAAGGCTCGGGATGGTGACGCTTGGGACCGGGAAGTGATTAGCGTGTCGCGCCGAAGCGTGGTGGGCCAGAATTGGCGGCGCGACACGCTAAGCCAAAGTTCTTGACTGTACATCTCCTCACTTATTCCCCATATTCCTTCTTATCTCCACTTCTTTCCTGTGTCGGCATCCAGGACGGCGCCGCGAAGCCGCTGGCGGATGTGATGGCCATCACGGGCTACTGGAGGCTCACCATGGACGACGCTGACGTCGGGAGGCTCCGGACGGGCCCTGGCAGCTACCTCCACCAGATGCCCGCGGTGATGATGATGATGATGATGATGATGATGATGATGATGATGATGATGATGATGATGATGATGATGATGATGATGTTGATGATGATGATGATGATGAAGAAGGCGAGTAGTTAAGAGGAGGATGAGGAGAGGGAGGAGGAGGAGGAGGGATAGCCACAGGAGTGGTGAGATGGGGATCAGAGGAGGAGGAGGAGGAGGAGGAGGAGGAGGAGGAGGAGGAGGAGGAGGAGGAGGAGGGGCGAGGAGAAGGAGGAGGAGGAGAAGGGGCGAGGAGGAGGAGGAGAAGGAGGAGGAGGCGGAGGAGGAGGAGTCTGCACCCCTTCGAAGGAGGCGTGCATTCCTGAAGGGCGCTTCGTGGGTGGCGGTGGCTCTGCTTGGGCGGGCGGGTCGGGCTGTGGGCTCGTCTCCTCGGGCGCCGGCGCCTGTGATTTTCCAGGTCGGGGCGCTGGCCGGCCCCGCGCTGCCGCTGGCTTGGTTCGGGACGGGGTCGCGGCTCCCTTTTGCTACTCGCGCCTCCCTTGGTCGTCTGCCGGGGGGGGGGGGGGGCGTCATCGTGAGCTTATCCTTTTGGTCTGTCGAGGTTGGCATGGCCTCTACTACTCTTGGCAGCTCCCTGGGGATCGTCCCGAGTAGCAGCCGGATGGTGTTGGTATGTTCTGGTGGTGTGGGTTCAGGGTTCGGCGTGCGTGGGTCGCCGGGTGGATGGATTCGGTAGTGCCCCTCCCCCCTCCCCGTGCACAGTCGGACAGGAAGCAAGGTGCTTGTCGGCAGGACTGGATGGGGAGCCGGGTGCGGGGTCGTTGTACGGGAGCGTAGGGGCATGGAGGTAGTAGGGGCATAGGAGTAGCACTTGTTGTGCGCATGCCACCGCCTCGCGCCGCAGCTGAGCCGGTCCAAGATGGAGGCTCTATTCGAACAGAGATTCGGCTCGGAAGCGCCTGCCTCGCCGATGGGGAGAACGTGCGAGGATTGAAGCTTCGCTTGGATTATCTCCAGCAGTGTAGGGCTTCGCCGGAGTTTCTCGAGCGTTGGCGCTGTGATCGGTCTTTGGAGGCCTCTGGGCATGTCGCCGGCCTTTGTCCCAAACATCCATCTGCACGGAATAATCTGGAATGGGTTGAGCGAGATATGCACATATATATATATATATATATATATATATGGTCGATCCCCCCCCAGCGACCCCCCAGAGCGCCCAAAGCACGAATACACAACTCAACTTTGGCCTGCCATCCAGGCTGACGAACTCATCCGCTCGGCCCATCCGTCACGGGCACCGTGCGCGCAAGCATATCGGTTTCGGCCGAGGCCACGAAACACTGTGTATCACATGTTTTTCTGGTTTTTCTGGTCTGGGAACCAACGAAACACTGCGTATCACAGGTTTTTCTGTTTTTTCTGGTTTCTGGAGCTGAAATGCTCGCCGCGGCCTCGCCCCACCGCTCCCCCACCTCCTGTTTGTCGGCACCTGAAAACCAGAAAAAACCAGAAAAACCTGTGATATACAATGTTTCGTTGGTTCCCAGACCAGAAAAACCAGAAAAACCTGTGATACACAGTGTTTCGTGGCCTCCGAGCAAGGCTCTGGTTCTGGTTATGGTTCTGGTTCTGGCTCTGGTTCTGGCTCTGGTTCTGGTTCTGGTTCTGGCTCTGGTTCTGGTTTTGGTTCTGGCTCTGGTTCTGGCTCTGGTTCTGGTTCTGGTTCTGGCTTTGGTTCTGGTTCTGGTTCTGGCTCCTACCAGTGGTTGTACTGGCACAGGGGCGAGGATTTGTGGCTGGCAACAGGGAAGATGCTGGAGGAGGCCTTCCTCAAGGAGCACTGCCAGTGAGCGGCGAGCGCTGTAGTCCCCGAAGAGTACACAGTGTTTTCTTGTTCGGAGGCCACAAAACACTGTGTATCACAGGTGTTTCTGGTTTTTCTGGTCTGGGAACCAACGAAACATTGTATATCACAGGTTGTTCTGGTTTTTCTTGTTTTCAGGTGCCGACAAAAAGGAGGTGGGGGAGCGGTGGGGCGAGGCCGCGGCTAGCATTTCAGCTCCAGAAACCAGAAAAACAAGAAAAACCTGTGATACGCAGTGTTTCGTCGGTTCCCAGACCAGAAAAACCAGACAAACCTGTGATGCACAGTGTTTCGTGGCCTCGGCCGAAACCGATATGCTTGCGCGCACGGCGCCCGTGACGGATGGGCCGAGCGGATGAGTTCGTCAGCCTGGATGGCAGGCCAAAGTTGAGTTCTCCAACAGGGAGAGGACCAGGTGGAAGAACAGAAGGTGGAGGACGAGGGAGGAGGGAGGAGGAGGACGAGTAACAGGAGAAGCAGGAGGCGATGGGGGGAGATGGAAGAGGAGGGGGAGGATGAGGGAGAGTAAGATGAGGAGGAATACTTCTCGGGTCACAGCCCGCTGTGACAGACCATGTGTCTGCGGCTGTTCGGAGCCAGCATCTCAAGACCGCGGCTTCGTGTTTTGGGCGTTTTGGGGGGTCGCTGGGGGGGGGGGGGGGGGGGGGGGGGCGAAAGTATATATATATATAATATATATATATATATATATATTTATAGAAGTCGACGGGGAAAATCTCATTCTTTTCTGCTGGAGGCGCCAAGCCAGCAGCGCTCAACGTAACTCCGCTCGGCCGCATCCTGAAGGAAAGGGGGGGAGTACCATCGGGCGCGGCGGCGGTGGAGTTCGAAAGGTTGAAGGCCCGGTTAATAGTCGAGCTTCGCCAGGGCGGAGTGGACGATCTTCCCCCAGCGGTGAGCGTCACTTACGGCACCTTTGGCAAAGGCCGTTAGCATGCTAGGTGCCAGGTGCTGGTTCTTGGATGTACGTCGTCGACTTTCAAGGCTCCTTCTCCAATTGGACGGTAACTAACGCGGACACTTTCCTCTTCGGGTTCTGTTTGGGTGTACGCTGTGTCGACGGAGCGACTGTTTACTTCCATTTCGAATTGAAGGTGGCCCTAGGCACGAATGACTCGTCCGTGAAGGTGGTTCTGCGCATTCTTTTGGTCAGAGAAACCGCGCCCCTGGTCGATTTTCGTTGACGGTTTCTTCGGTTTCGCAAGCAGCGAGGAAGAGGCGTGGGGGCAGTTGTGCACCGCAGGGCGATTCTTCATTCGATGCGGAGTCCCTGTGATCGCAAAACCTACAGGCGCCCGACCCCCTAGCCAGCGGCAGTTGGGGATGGGGCGGGCGTGACATTGCCAGTCGTGTAGCGACATTCTCCGGCGAAGCGTGCGAGCATTGCCGGGCTCCGCGTTTAGAGCTGATTGCTGCGAACAACCAGCAAATTCTGAGAACGAGGCAGCTTGCGACCGCCGCAGGGCTTGCATCTCGCATAGCAGACATTTGGCCGCAAGTGCGACGATTCTTGCGCTCGCTATGGGTTGACATGAACTCCACAGGTGTGCACGTTCCCTGGCAATCCCAGCCAGGCGCCGATCCGGTGGTGCAGCTTTCACCATTGAGCTTGCAGGGCCTCGATTGGCTGTGCCAGGCGTTAGATACTCCACCAGTGCGTTCCTTGCGCTGTGCTGGGGTGCCCTTATCCGCCTGGGGGCACAAATCGCCCGAGCTCGTCAGTTGGAGTTCCTCGGCCAACGAAGGGCTCATCCAGGTAATAATGACAGGCTCGTCCGAACTCATAGGTTGGTCGTGCCATAGCTGCGCTGACACGTCGTGTCAGGCGCGTGGCCACACGATTTCGTCTTAACCGAAGGCCACCATCGTACATCATACATCAATCACAAGGATCTCTGGGTCGCCCTCCAATGTCTGCTGCTCGAGGGCCAGGCGTTTGCAGGGTGGCGAGTTTTATCCCGCATGGACAACGCAGCGGCAGTCCACTACGTGAACATACAGTACAGGAGGGCGCCGCCCCTGGAAGAGTTCGCCGGCCAGTTCGAGGCGGCGGAGCGCATTGCGCAATGCTGGGCGGTCGCAGTCCGTATTCGCGGCGTCCACTATGCTGTAGCCGACGGCGGGTCCCCGTCTCCAAGCTTCGCGCTGGCTTGGGCAGGGCGCCCCTTCCGCGGCGCGGTCCTGCGTCGTGACTTCTTTCGGGATGTAGAAGGGAGATGCCAGGTCTCGATCACCTCTGATTTATTTGCGGATCGTGCGGGGTTGACGGCGCTCGCGCCCTGCTAGTGCCCCCCCCGAATTTACTTCGTTCGAGCAGGATTCGCGGGGTCACGTAGTGCGGGTTCCCCCCCCCAGAGCGACTATATGCTACGCTGGAGCATTTCGCCCAGAGGGCGGCGGCTGGTTGCGACGCCGGCATCTTTGTTCTGATTCCGGAGGGTACGACTGCTCCGTGGTTCCGCGTGTCGTCTTTGCGAAAGTGGCATCGAGTCCGCTCGTGGCAGGCGGGCCCCAATCTATTCCGGTGGGCGCCCGCCGCTGGCGTCAGGCACGGCCCCCGTGCAAACCTAATTGCATTATTCAAACAGCGTCGCCATCAACGCTATCCTGCCGGCTATGCGTCGCACGTGGCTAAGAGGCGCCATGGGCAAATTAGCAACATAGGTACGGGTGCTACAAAGTCTCGCTGTCGTCGCCACCGCCGCCATCTTCATCCTCGCCAGCATCTCCAAGCGCAGCCCTGGCAAAGGAAAAGGGGCATGGGGCGCGAGAGAGAGAGAGAGAGAGAGAGAGAGAGAGAGAGAGAGAGACAGAGAGACAGAGAGACAGAGAGACAGAGAGACAGAGAGACAGAGAGACAGAGAGACAGAGAGACAGAGAGACAGAGAGACAGAGAGACAGAGAGAGAGAGAGAGAGAGAGAGAGGGACAGAAAGAGACAGAGAGGGGGTGGGGGGGCGCGCCCGTCGCCCCGCAGGCTCTCGCTTTGCTTCTCCGTTCTCCCAACCTCCTCCTCTCTCGTCTTCGCCGTTCCTCCAGCCCCCCGCAGCGCGCGGTGGGGTGGGGGGGGATCTCCCCTCTCGTGCCCCCCCTCGTCGCCCCGCCCCTCGCAGTTTCATCCCTCCCTGCTTCCCGCGAAAGAAAAACAGGGGCGGGGGGCGTGTCTGGCTGCCCTGCGCGCGGAGCGCAGTAGCATGCGCCTGCGCGCGCGCGCCTGGCGCTCTCGATCCAATTTCGCCAGCCGGGAAGAGAGCGGTCGATCTCGTTGCTTCGGGGTCGCGGAACGTCATGAGGAACGCAGCGCGCTTGTGCAAGACAGGGCTCTCGGGGGCCAGGATTCGCTCGCAGGGCGCCCTGGTCTCCGCGGCCGTTCCGGCTCAAGCGTCCGAGGCTTTACGTGCGCACAGCTTTCCACAAGCCTCCTGCCCTTGCCATGGCGAACGAAGCTCGCGCGGGAGAATTCATTGCCGGTCGGCGCCATCCTGCGGCGGCCGCTGTCGATGGCCGCGTGGAGGTGCGCGCGGAGAAAGTCGCTAAGGAGGCGATCGGAGACGGCCTTGCCGAGGGAGGGGCGACCCACGCCGCAACCGCCTGCGGGGCGGATCGGCTCGCCGACGAGAGTTTCCCCTACCGCGAGCAGCTCCGGAGCCTGAGTGCGTCGCGATGGACCAGCGCGCGGGCTGCGCTGATGGCCGACCCGGGCGACCTCTCGGCCGCTGCAGACGCCGCGAAGGACCGCTGTCGGCTCCGACTATGGCGCTTCGGGCAGCGCACCCCGAGAACGCAGAGCTTCGGGCGTTCCGATGACATGCCGTTCGGAAACTTGGCGCGCGTCGCTCGTGGAAAACCGCTCACTTGCAGAAATTCTGACAAGTTCCGCGCGTTCTTGTCGGAAAGAGGGGTCAGTGCGGACATCGGCGTTCGGTTTTTTTCTCACTCTTTGTTGGCGTTGTGTCACTTGGTAGAAAAGAGTGCCACGTCGATCAGAACATGAAGAGGGGCCCCGCCGAAGCCGAGACGCAGCGAACGTCCATTATGCCGCCTTTGCACCATGCAATCAAAAGCTACAAGAAGCGCGCGATCAAATCGTCGATGTTAGTTCCGAAGGATCATTCCATCCTTCTCCAGGGCCTCATCCTCGCCGAGTCCGCGTTGCCGTCGAAGTCGCAGCCCTCCGGCGAGGAGCGCGCCGTCGAGTCGGACGCGGGGGGCGCCCTCAAGGTCGCTCGGCTTTGCGCCGTTTCCGTTGGGGTTGCCCCGGCCGCGTCGCACCCCGGGCGGCTGTTCCCGCGTGCCCATGGCGACCGACGCGAGCAGCCCAAAGGTGCTGCCAAAGCAACCTCGGCAGGCAAGGGCGGCAACGATCCTTCGAACCGCCAGTGCAGGGAGCGCGCCGCGACGGCCTTGAAGGAGGAGCTGGCCAGGCTCGACCCTCACAGCCGCCCGCTTGCAATCCAGGAGGGGATTGATTCGCGATTCAAGCGGGGGGAGATGAAGCAGGCAATGGGCCGGCTCGTGTGCGACGCGTGCCAGATTTGCATTCATTTTCTGGAAAATGCGCGCAGGGGCACGCGTGTCGGGCCTGCCGGGACCTCGGTGGCTAATGCGCCCTTCCCTGCAGCTGGCGCGCCCAGGCGGGGGCGGCCCGAGATATTTTTCTTCGGGCGCACTCTCTCACGATTCCAAATATTCTGGCAATTGGCTCCCCGAGGAGAGCGCGGACATGCCGACGTTTCATATGTGCTGGGCCGATGAAGAGCTTTGGCATGTCAATCCGCTTCTTCTTTGGCCCCCTTCGCCTTTCTAGGACCTGCGAAACGTTATCTACTCTTCGCTTCCGGGCGTTCGGCCGCCTGTGGTTTGCGAGCCCTGCTGCGTGCGACATCCTTAAGTGGCCTTGCTCTGCCGCAGCAGTTGGTCTCCGCTCTCTGGCCGCCGTGAAAAGAAACGGCGTCGCTGACATCCGACGTCGTGTTTTTCCGCTGCTGGGGCCCCGAGGGCCCGCGAGGCCCCCTTTCCCCGGGTGCAATTTTTCCGCTCCGGTGCGTTTTATTTCGGCTGCCCAGGGCGTTGATGCCAGCCCCCAGAGGCCAGAAACAACTCGCGGGCGCCCGCTGACTCGGGGTTCCAGAGGCCGTCTTTGCTGTCTTGGCTGCAATCGTCGCTGGCGCCTGCGGCGCCCAACCCGAGCGCCGCAGCCACGTGGGCTCAAGGATGGCTTGGCCCCGCCTCCCGGGTAGCCCCGACGAATCGGGCCCCCAGTCGCGCCCGAAACTGGATTTCGCATGCCTTCCCCGCGATGATTTTCCTGCGCTGGCAACGCGCCCGGACACGGTGCCGTTTCCATCCTAAGCTCCACACTGTTGGGCACCGCCCGGAGCAACCGGCGAGCCTCGGCGGACGACCCGTTCGGCGCGACAGCCTCTCGCGCATTTCCCACGGTATCGCCAGGGAAAAAGACGTCTGCTTGGGCAGCCTGTCCCTCTCGCCAATGGAGCGGGGCGCGTCCTCAACGCAGTCGCCCAGCAGACAAAACCCGCGCGCGGCCATACAGAGATGCATCCAAGCAGCGCGGGAGGATTCCACAACAGCCCAGTAAGACTACGTGCTGCGCGGGCCCGTCAGCGAGCTGGGGTCCGCCTCGGGGGGGACCTTGCTGCCGTGCAGTGTGGATCTGAACGTCATGGCATCGTGTTCCCAGTTTGAAGGGTCGCCGTGGAATCCTGTCGTCATCGCCAAAGCATCGGTGAGGGGATGGCACGTCCAGAGGAGTCTCTTGGGCGAGTGGGAGAAAACATGGGCTGATCGCGCATCGTCTGGCGCGGACTGAAAAAGCGTTGTGCTCACACGCCTTCGGCGGCCAAGCGCCTTCTGCGCATCGCAGAATTGTTTCATGTTGTCACGGCCTCACCTTGGCCCCATGTGTAGGTGCATCGAAGGTTCCATTGGCAGCGCCCGCGTGCGGTTCCACCCTGAAGCCCTGCGCACCCATCGCGCGCTTCGTGGCCCCATGGTGAGTTCCACCGACGGCCCCCGTGGCAGCGCCCGCATGCGGTTCCACCCTGCACATCGGCGCACCCATCACACGCTTCGTGGCCCCATAGGGAGCTGCACCGAAGGCCCCAGTGGCACCGCCGTACGCGGTTCCACACATAATGTCGGCGCACCCTTTCAAACGTTCCGTGACCCATAGGGAGCTGCACCGAAGGCCCCAGTGTCAGCGCCTGCGTGCGGTTCTCCCTCCGATTTCGGCGCACCACTCACACGCTTCGTGGTCCCAGCGGGAACTCCACCGAAAACCCCTGTGGCATCGCCCGCATGCGGTTCCACACCCAGATTCCGGCGTTCCTTTTCACACGTTTCGTGGCCACGTGGGGGGCTCGACCGAAGGCGCCAGTGGCAGCGCCCGCATGTGATTCCACCCTTCCAATGTCGGCACACCCATCACACGCTTCGTGGCCCCATAGGGAGCTGCACCGAAGGCCCCAGGGGCACCGCCCGTACGCGGTTCCACCCTGCATTTCGGCGCACCACTCACATGTTTCGTGGCCCCACGGGGGGCCTATTGACAGCTCCAGTGGCAGCGCCCGCATGGCGTACCGTGTCCGTGGCAATGTCGGCACACCCCTGACACTTTTCGTGGCCCCATTTGGAGCTGCACCGAGGATGACACTCACAACTACGGCTCACAACTGCACATGGTTGGGTCCTTCGCCAGGATCGCGTTTCAGTTTATGCTGGTCGAATTAATGTGTTGGGTGTTTTTTCTCGGCCTTCCCCCCCAGCGTCGCCTCTACTACCCTCCGAGGAGAGAGAGAGAGAGAGAGAGAGAGAGAAAAGGAGAGAGAGTGTGCGAGTGAGACACACATATGTATGGAGAGAGAGAGAGAGGGAAACAGAGGAGGAGGAGGAGGAGGAGGAGGAGGAGGAGGAGGAGGAGGAGGAGCAGGATAAAACCGAACCCACACACATACCAAGCAAAGGTAACAATTAGGGATGAGAGCGACAGGAAGCGTTGGACATCCAAACTAAAGCAACACAACAGCTGTAGGTAGATCTCAGTAGCCCTCACCATACCTATGTGTACATGTACCTATACGACCGCCCTGCGGGCGATAAGGAGTTTGTGGGGGGATTGGAATCAAATGCGCACCCTGACTGACCTCCAGCCTGTCACCTTGATCTCATCTCTCTCTTTCTCTCCCTCTCACTCTCTGTGTCTCTGTCTCTCTCTCTCTCTCTCTTTCTCTCGCCCTCTCTCTCTCTCTCTCTCTCTCTCACTGGATTGATGGATTGATGGGTTGGGTTGGGTGGATTGGATTGGGTGGGATAAGATAAGATGGGACAATGTGGGTTGGATAAGATGGATTGGATTGGACAAGATAGATTGGATAAGATAAGCTGGATTGGATAAGAAAGCCCGCCGCAGGCGCCGAAAAAAATGAATTATGAAATTAGCGACATGCGTTAGCGCCAGACGCCCGGGACACCCGGGACACCGCCCGGCCCAACTGGGACACCTCCCGGCCACCGGCGGACGGCAAAAGGACTTTCGCTCCTCTTTCGGCCTAGCTACAGGAGGATCACGTGCAGCTTCAACCTCGCCCGCACCCACGACACGAACACGAAACCGAAACCGATTTCCCGGTGGGGGGTCTCCGTTTCTTTACGATCTCACCCCCCAACCTCCGACTCATACCCTAAATCATCCCCGCAGGTGATGACGCTGAACACCCCGATGGCTATTTATGGCGACGCGTTCGGCTTGGAGAACATGCGGAAGGCTCGCGGCAATTCCACGCCCGAGTTGCAGAGCGCCGAGGAGGTGCACCTGACTTCCCTGCCGCCGTGCAGCACTCACGGGCAGGAGCTGCGGCAGAACAACCTGAAGTACACCGACACGAAGAACGCGCCCTCCATATCTCTCGGCTGCATCTGGGACGGGAAGATGAGCCTCATAGCCCGGACCGCCGACAAGCACCCCGGGTACAAGTTCTACGCGTGGCTGGACGTCGGCATGCACGCCTACAAGTACGAGGTCATCAAGAAGCACGGAGGCCGGCCATGGCCCGACGCCGCGAAGCTGGCCACCCTGCCCACCGACCGCGTGTCCGTCGACCGCACGTTCGAGTGCGCGAAGTGCAAGCGCGGCGACTGGGACAACTTCTGCCACTGCATCGCGGCCACTTCCATCCTGGTCCCGGGCTCAATGGTGAAGGAGGTCAGCGACCTCTTCTATCGCTTGATGGAGGAGGGGGAGGGGGGGAGGGGGAGGAAGAGCGCCGCAATTGGGCGTGGGAGGGGACACGAGCAGGGAGGGGAAGCAGCAGTTGCAGCAGGATCAGGAGGATATCCGGGGGCCCCCACACGGTGTGGTGACCACACCGTGCGGTGAGTCGGTGGGGATTCGGGGTCACCGCACGGTTTCGGGACTGGGGTCAATTTCCGAGGAGGTCTTGGGCGACAGGGGCTTCCGAGGTCCCAAGACCGTGCTGTGACGGACCGTGCGGTGAGGTCTTGGGGGATTTCGAGGTCACCGCACGGTCCGTCACCGCACCGTTTCGGGACTCCAGAGATATGGAGGAGCGGGGGATGGTACGGGGGGGGAGAGGGGCGAGGAGACCGGGGAAGACGATTAGCAGTGCCTAGACGCGCACTGGCGCGTCTCTGCCCTCTGCCTCCCCTTTGTCTCCCGTTTGCCCTTGGCCTCAAGTCGGGCCTGACCCTCTACAGGGGGAATACTCGAAAATTGTCAGAAAATGGCCTGGGGACTATTTTCGGATTTTTTTCACAATTTTGGGGTATTTTTGGAGTAGTTTTTATTTTTCCTTGAAAATCCCCCTGTAGGGGGACACGCCCGACTCAACCTTGGCCCGCTGTGCATAGTAGTCCTCATCCAACCTGTTCCGTCATTGTCCTCACGGAGGAGGAGAGCCAGCACCAGAGGGGTTCAGATTGCACTGATTGTCTGCGCCAGCATTGCATGGATCCAGGGCCACGTTGCGGTGGCCCGGTGCGCCAAGCATTCATTGGTCCCACGGCGCCAGCTGCTGCTTTGCCAGACGCCCGCGCTGGACCGAGGAGGAGGAGGAGGAGGAGGAGGAGGAGGAGGAGGAGGAGGAGGAGGAGGAGGAGGAGGAGGAGGAGGAGAGGAGGAGGAGGAGGTGGAGGAGCACGTTTGTGGAAGCAGGTGTTCTGGCTGCGCTCAAGAACAACACGCCTACTTCCCGGGCGCACGCTCCAGGCAGACGAATTCGGGACCAGCCTTCCGATCTGTCCACCTACCCACCCACCCCATCGCCCGACTCCCACGCCCTCCTGTCGTCCCCCTGACCCCCTCTGTCACCCTGGGAGATATCGGACAAGGCATCCGATCCCCCAGGGCCCACATTGCGTTGGACACGGGAGTTCCCCAAGTCCGTAACAGAGCGACCCCGTCATGCCGCTGCAATGTCAAACGTTGGGCATTTGTTTCGTGGCTACTAGCTGGTGGTGCACGTGCTCAGCATGCCGACTCCGAAAGGCCCACCACGGGTTCAGGCACCCTGATGCCTAGAGAAACCTTATTCGAGAGCTTCACCCTGAGGTTAGGCGCACGTTGGATGGCGGGTCCCTGGGATGCACGGCCTTGCTTCGAGCAAGCGAAGAGCCTCTTCCGCCTCCGCCTCCGCCTCCGCCTCCGCTTCCTCTTCTTCCCATCCCCCTGGGGGCAGGAGTGCTTTGAGCAAGCGAAGGGCAAGACCTCGGCCTACACCTGCATCAGCGAGCAGCATATTCTTACCCAGATGCACAAGGAGAAGCCCGGGCTGTTCAATTTCGTCGACAAGGGCTACGGCAGCATGGCGGCTGACCTTGTCACTCAGATGTACGAAAGCCACGGAAGGGAGGGGGGAAGGAGGAGGAGGAGGAGGAGGAGGAGGAGGAGGAGGAGGAGGAGGAGGAGGAGGAGGAGGAGTAGGAGGGGGAGGAGGAGGAGGAGGAGGAGGAGGAGGAGGAGGAGGAGGAGGACAAAAGAGGAGGAAGAGGATGAGAAGGAGAGAGGAGTAGTGCCGATGAAGAAGGGGGGAGATAGGGTGGATGAGTCTTCTGGACTGGAGTGGTCAACCCGGGGTAAAAGGGGGCCAATCAGCAATGGACCCAGGCAGTTGGCGTCGCCATTAAGATCTGTGCTCTCGAGATTGAGAGCGGTGATCTGAGCAAAGCTGTGCTTGCGCTGTCGAGCTGGCATGGCGATCGCACGGTGCCGCCAGAAAGCGTTGTACAGCGTTACGCTGTCACATTGATGGCACTCTCCGCCACCCACCAGCCCGTTGTCCGTGCGACACGGACCCAGAGGCTAGAAGCAAGGGGAACGTCCCCTCGATGGACCCTCGCTTGTGATTTGGATGGTTCCTCTCTGCGGCTCGCTCACACTCGGGTTCGGTGCGGGAGGGCGCATAGTGATGATGGGACGTCCAGTGCAGCCCCTTCACACGGAGTTCCCCCGCCTAGTATCCGCAACATCGTAGGTTAGCAGCTCGCGCTCAGCGGAGTCTGCCAACGTCAAGAAATTACGGTTTGTGGAAGTCGTCTGTAGGCGAAACTTTGGTGGTGGACTTAGTATTTCCCGCCCTACGGTGGAGCGAAAATAGTCTCTTCTGTGACGCGCGGTGTCGACGATCGAGGTATCGGCCTTAGTTTGTCACAGACATGTGCGTCACATTCAAACACCCGAATGCAAGAGCGAGGACGGTCCTGCGGCAGGGTCGCCTGCCGACTCCCGAGAACGAGTTGGACGCGTTTGCATTTGTATCCCGCTGAGTTTCCTCCTTCCCCAAAGCTGCGCTGAGAAAGCTACATGACCATTCGAACTCGTGTCAATTCAGGGACCTCCCCGCCATGGGCAGGAAGTCGCTTCGGACTGCTGGGATTCTGTTCCAGCGGCGCCTCGATCCATGAGGTGCCGCCTACAGATTGCCCTGGTTTCCACGGCGGAGCGAGAAGGTAGCTGTAGCTATGTGTTCCTTCCAGTCGGCGAGATTTCCGTGAAAAATTGCAGCGCTTTAGCCACGTGTTGGAGATATACGCAGAGCCTCTCGTGTTTCGGACCAGCTCGAAACCTCAGCGGAGGAGGGAGAAGGGTGGCGGACTGAGGATCAAGGACGAAGACGGAAGTGGGAGGAGAGAGGAAGGAGGAGGAGACGGCGGAGGAGGAGGAGGAGGAGGGAGTATGGAGGAGGGGGAGAAGAGATGACGCAGGACTCGAGAGCGCGCTTTTTGAAACATTGGCGCAGGAGGATGCAAAGGACGACGAAGGAGGGAGAGCGAGAGAGAGAGAGAGAGCAAAAAAAAAATAGGAGGAGGAGGAGGAGGAGGAGGAGGAGGAGGAGGAGGAAGAGGAGGAGCATGTGGAGGAGGATGACGACGAGAAGGAGGACAAGGACGAGGGCGGAGGAGGAGTGTGGGGAGGACGAGGGAGAAGGAATGGGGACGAGGCGTACCCTCCACCACTCCCTTCCGGAGCAGGATCCGAGAGCGCGTTGTTCGACATGCTGACGGGGGAGGAGGAGACCACTCGGGTATAGCCAGGACCCTGGTTAAGGGGAGCTGGTTAGTGATTGGTTCCCGAAGCCCAAAATATGGATTGGAATCACTAAACCAGGTCTGCCGTAGCTGATGCTTCTCGGGTTACGGCAATTCCGGTGAGTGGATTGGGACGGGGGGGGCGCACCCCGGTACACATCACTAAACCAGGTCCCACTCAACCCGGTTCTGCCAACGCCCGAACCACGCCGGGAGCACGGCAGTTGATGCGCCGTACTAGGCCTCACAATCCTCCCCCTCCCATGCCTTGGCGTCAACAGGGGCTGAAGTGCAACTGGGAGGTGTGTGTCGTTCGGTGTGTGTGAAGCGCTACTTCAACATGCGATGAAGAGTGATAGTTCTCCCAGTCTCAACCGTCGACCACCGACCCTCTCCAGGGTTGCGCTCTGGCCAACATGTCGAGACAGATCCAGTTGCTGCGGCAACTAAGGCGCCCCAGGCGGCGTAAAGATGCCCAAATCCTCATTTCGAGACGTTCGACCCTCGACAACCTCCAGACCTCTGATGCCGTGTTCTCCCAACACAGGAACTCATGGACGTGTTGACCTCGTGGATGTTTTTTTAAAGTCCCAAATTGGGTCCGTGGCGGCCTGGGGCACCGAGTTCTGCCCCCAGAGACCGACGCTGCTTGCGGAGAGGGCATTGTCTGCCAATGCGTGAGAGGTCTTGGTCATTATATCTATATTCTCGTCCTCCTCTGTGCGTCTCCAAGTGCTTCTTGGATTGTCCCTGTTTTTTCCTTGTCCGCCCTTTTCTTGCCCGCCAGTGTCCCTCCTCCTCCTTCCTCCTTCCGCCTTCCTCCTCCCTCCCCCTCTTCCTTCCTTTGTCTATCCCCTCTTCGTTTTCACCCTTCTTGTCTTCCCCCTCTGCGTCCTTCTCATCTTTCTCTCACCCCCTCCTCCTCTTCCTCCTCCTTCTTTCCTTCCTTCCCCCTCCTCCTCCCCCTCCTCCTCCCCCTCCTCCTCCTCCTCCTTCTCCTCCTCGTCCTCCTGTCAACCCAACCCACCATTTTGGCTCAAAGTAGCCGGCTGTGGTTTTTTCCATAACCATTCCCACCCCGATGGGTGATCCTCTCCTGGCTGCCCTGCGTGTCATGGGCCGCAAGGGTGGTTTGTCCGTGGGCAACTCCTCGCCCTGCACCTTGGCCATCACATCTGCTGTTGCTCTCCACGATGCGGTCCGGACTGGCCACGTCAGGGGACAAGACCACCCAGCTCTCGAGCGCCATGCGCAACACGCTGCTCGTGGTCTCCGCCTTCATCAGGTCTCGAAGTTCATCAACAGGTCCCATATCGGGACCCACTCTCAGACATTGTCGAGGACGCTTCTGAGTCTAGCCGCTTCTCGCCTCAGGAATGCCAGCTCATGCGGGACATCGCTAATAACCGCAACGCCAGCTCGCACAAGGCCTGGACCTCCACCGCGAGGTTCAAGCTCAAAGGAGACTTTCCAGCTCCTGTCTTGCCTGTTGTTCTTGCTCAGGGCAACAGAACCTCGGATGTGTCGACGCCCGCGCTTCCAGGTTCTAACAGGATGTTGCTGGACGCGGTGCAGAAGGGCGCACCCGTTGGCAAGTCCGCACTGACGGTTGGCTTTGGAGGCGGTCTCCCTCGCGCCAACGCTGCCCCCACTCGTTTTCAACCATGGCTGCGTTGCGGTCGGATTTCGAGACACTGGAGTCCGCTCTTGCCGCAGGCAAGCAAGACCGACGGAAGACCAACGTGCCCTCGCTGGCCTCCTCAAGCAGGTCAGCGACCAAAACATCGAGTTCAAGCAGGGCCTGTCCGCGGTCATCGCCGCGGCCGAGCTCCAGTTTCCCAACTCTGTGGACCAGCTGCGACAGCCGACGACGCAGGTCGCACTGATGAGCGAGCTCATTTCCATCATCAACAAGTACCACGACGAACCCCTCGAGTTGCCGCAGAGCGCGCCAACTGCCGACTTTGCCGCGAACGCTTTGCCCGACGCGCATGTGGTTTCTGATTCTGCCGCGCCCGTGGTCGCCGACGCCGCGCTGCTCGGCGCGCCCACCTCCACCCGCTCAGCGCTGACCAGTATCCAGACGCAGAGTGTCGACCAGAAGGGGCTCCCGCCCGACAAGAAGGACCTGCACTCTACCATCGCTGCTTCCTGCAGAGTGATATCTGGATTCGACGTCCTCGCTGACGAGCGCAAGGGCTCGGCCATTGCCATGCCTGTGAACACTGAGCCCGCGATCGCCACCGACTCCGACGAACTGATGCCGATCAGCATTCAGCCGCAGCGACGACCTGATGAATTTCCCGCGCGGCGGCTTGCTGGACATGTTCGAAGTCAGGGCTCGCCCAGACGCGCATCGCTGGAGAAGAGGCTCCCGTTCGACAAGAAAAACCTGCACTCCATCATCGCTGCTGCCTGCAGAGTGATTTCCGAGTTCGACGCCACCAGCAAGAGTAAGGCATCGGCCTTCGCCAGGTCTGTGAATACGGAGCCTGCGCTCAACCACGCCATCGTCTCCGACGGCCAGCTGTCGATCAACACGCAGAGCCACTACGACGACCTGCTGAACTCCCCGCGTGACGGCTCGCAGGACTTGGTCGGAGTTCCGGACTCGTTCTGCTGCGCATCACTGGAGGACCTCATCAGCACCGGATTGTGCTTTGGCGATATTGATGGCGGCTCCACCACGTCGGACTGGTCCAGAACGGACATGGAGGCACACCCCGAGCTTTTCGCCACCAGCGACCCCGAGACCAGCGACTTCCCCACTTCCGACTTCCACACATCATACAAGATGAACATCTGGCGCTGCACCTCCCCGCCCGCCCCGCGCGCGCGGCCGTGCCAGGCACGTCGGACGTCCCCGTTAAGAGACGTTCGTTCCTCCTCCTCGCTTCCTTTTTTCCGTCCTCCCTTCCTTCTTTCTCTTCCTATCCTTCGCCTCTTCCTCCTCTATCATTACTTATTCTCTTTGTCCTCCTCGTCCTCTTTTCCTCATCATCCTCGTCCTCCTTCCTCTGTCCTCCGCCCTTATGAATATTATTCGCATTAGTGGTATGTTTTACGTGTTTCGTGCCAGCATTTGCAGTAGCATCATCTTTGTTATTGCTATCTGTTATATGTATCAGTCTTGTGATTATTATGTGTATTCGTATTACGTTTAGTATTATGATTACTCTTAAACATCGTATTATTATTATTATCAATATTATTATTATTAGTATTGTTATTATTATTATAATTACTATTACTATTACGATTATCATTATTATTATTAGCATTATTATTATTATCATAATTCTTATTAATATTAGTATTATTATTAGTACTATTATTATTATTCATAGCATTATCATTTATTATGTTCCCCAATCAGAGCTTGCTTCTGTAGGGGTCCTAGCGGATATAAAGCTGAGGTGAGGTGGGCGGCCGATTTCGGTGGCCGGGGCCGGGTGCCCGGGTGCCCGGGGGTGCCCGGGTGGCCGATTTCGGTGGCCGGGCCCGGGTGCCCGGGTGCCCGGGTGCCCGGGGGTGCCCGTGTGCCCGGGGGTGCCCGGGTGCCCGGGGGTGCCCAATAGCCCAGGAGCCCTATAGCCCTATAGCCCTATAGCCGTATAGCCCTGTAGCCCTGTAGCCCTATAGCCTTATATCCCTATAGCCCTAATAGCTTTTATATCCATATAGCTCTATAGCCCCATAACCCATATAGCTCTATAGCCCCATAACCCTATAGCCCTATGGCCCTATAGGTCACAGTCCTATAGCCCTATAGCCCGATAGCCCTATAGCCCTATAGCCCGATATCCGTATAGCCCTATAGCCCAATAGCCCTATAGCCCTATAGCCCTATAGCCCCATAGCCCTAACAAAAATATGATTGGGGTTTTTCTCCGGTATCATTTTATTATTAGCACGATTGTTAATGTTATGATCATCATGATCAATATTTTTCCTCACGCTCCTCTTCCTCCTCCTCCTCCTCCTCCTCCTCCTCCCCCCTTTTTCTCCTCCTCCCTCCTTCTCCTCTTTTTTCTCGTCCTCCTCCTCCTGCCCCCCCAGGAGGGCGTCGTGACCACTCCGCTGTGAGCGGCATCGCCGCGGCCCTGCCTCGTTTCTGCCGCTCCTCTCCAGCGCCGGGCCCGGGCCCCCCCGCGGCGGCGCCGATCCCCGCAGGAAGCTCCTGCTCCTGCTGATCCTCCTCCCTCCTCCTCCTCCTCCTCCTTCTCCTCCTCCTCCTCATCCCTCCTCCTCTCCTCCTCCTCCTCCTCCTCCTCCTCCTCCTCCTCCTCCTCTTTTCCTCCCTCCTTCCTCCCTCCTCCTCCCCCTCCTCCGTCGCCTCCTCCTCCTCCTCTTTCTCTCCTTCTCCTCTTCTTCCTCCTTTTCCCTCGTCTTCCCCTCTTCGGTCCTCCTCCTCTTCCTCGTCCTCCTGCTCCTCCTCCTCTTCCTCCTCCTCCTCCTCCCCCTCCTCCTCTTCCCCTTCCTCCTCTTCCACCTCCTCCACCTCCTCCTCCTCCTCTTCCCCCTTTCTCCCTCGTGTGGCCCCTCCTCTTCCTCCTCCTACAGCCTCCATCCTTGGCCTGCTGTCTTCATCGTCATCCTGCTGTTCATCTCTCCCTGTCCTCCTCGCCCCGTCCCTCCTCCTCCCTGCTCTCCCCCACTTTTCCTCCTTATAAACATCCCGTCGTTGCGCCACCAGGCGTGCCAGCAGGGCGGGCTGGGCGTTTTGCCCTGAGCTTCCCCCACCGTTTATGGTCCTGAAGCTTGACAGTTCCAACGGTTACACAAGGGGGGCGGCTGGTTTTCAAATTGTGATTCTCGCTTGAGCACCGCGCGTACTCGTTTCAAAAGCCTCCAGCAGTTACAGTCATGGAGGGCGGCTCATTTTGGAACTGGAGCTCTTTCCCTAGCGCCGCGCACGTGTGTCGTAGATTGTTGCGACACGTGCAAGGGTGGAGAGCGGTTCTTTTTGAACATGCGGCTCTCCCCGTGTCGCACACATTCGTCTTCAACACTTCCAACAATACAAGCATGGGGGTGCACTCCTGTTAAAGGTGGGAGTGTCGCTTCATACGCGTTCCAGCTTCACGACTAGACATGGAATACCCGGGGGCGTAACCAACCCACCTGGGAAGTCTTGTAACCTATTTGGTGGGTCGCCTGCGGACACCAGTCTGCTGGACCTTCCAGAGGATCACGGATGTGGCGACAGCTGCGCGGTTGCCAGCGCCCAGGGGGGCACTGTTGCCTTTGAACATGCGTCGGGCACCGTTCCGCCGACCTCCCCGCAGGTTCACGAAAAAATGGCGGCAGCTGCACAGTCGGCAGCACGCAGGGAGGGCAAGGTCTCGCCTGGGCGCGCGCAGGGCGTCGCCCTGATGGACCTCCCAGGAGCTCAAACTATTGGCGGCAGCTGTGTAGCTGGTTGCATCCATGAGGTGCCCGTGGGGCGTCGCTCTGCCGGTCCCCCCAGAAGCTCACGAAAGCGGCGAGCACCTCAGGATGCGCGGCACGAGACTAGCTGGACGTAGGAGGCAGGAAGGGGGGGGGGCCAGCGGGAAGAGGTGGGAGGAGCAGCGGAGGGAAGCAGCCGCGCACTATTCAAATTCAGAACCCAACACAGGATGGGTGGGACACATTGCGCAGCACCTACAAGGACGGAGGTCAGTTCCGTTCCAGTTTTGGCTCTCGCGTGCGGCCTCCTTAAACATGAGCGCCTTTAATTTCTGGGGCGGGAGCGTCTCTCTCTCTCTCTCTCTGTCTTCTCTCTCTCTCTCCCTCTCTCCCTGTATCGATTATATATATGTGTATATACATATAGAGATGCTACATATTTATAGGAGCTGCACGGATGGAGGGTGGCTCTTTCTCAACGTGGTGTTCGTTGTTGGCACGTCATTGAACGCTATCGTATTGCCTCTTCGCACTCATTGTAGCCAAAGGGATTCAGGGTAGTCCCCTTCAACACGAGACTAAATGGCAGGCCCATGCATAGTGAGCTTGACTTCAAAGGAGGTACTTCCTGTAGTAAAGGAGTGCCTGAGACCGACGGGCCAGGCGTTTCTCTGAAAGACTTCCTTATACTGTATGATCCTTAGTCGTGGAGTTCCCAAACGAGGCACGCAGGCAGGTAGGGCCAGCGGTTTTCAAAATGTGGTCCTTGCTTTAGCGCCGCACGCGCTCCTTTTAATTCATCTTACTATTACACGGACGGAGGGGTGGTTGTTTTCAACATGTGGTTCTCGCCTCAGGGCCGCGCACGTTCGTCCCAACGGATTCCATAGTTTACACGCATGGAGGGCTGGTCGTTTTCAACGTGTGGTTAATGCATACTTGTCTTGAAGACTTATCAAACTTGCACGGATGAAAGCCGGTGCATTTTGAATATCGGGCTCTCGCCTGATATTTCCTCAACACATGTTCCCATTAGAGTGAGATTGTGCAACGGCTTCACGGATGCATGACGGCCCCTTTACAAACATTGTTATTGCCTGAGACTTCGACACGAATTACCACTAGCACAGGATATCGCAACAGTTCCACGCATGAAGGGCGGTTACTTTTTAACAATGGGCTTGCTCTTAGGAACTCGTGATATTCAAAGACCAGAAGTTTGAATCCTTCTGTATCAGCTGCACGTATGCAAGGTGGTTGTTTTTTCCAAACGGAGTTCTCGTTGGAGTTCTCGTTGGGTACCTTGGGACGGGAGGGCGTATTGCAGGATCGTTGGCACGTCTTGGGTGTCCTCTGATGATATTGCGTTTCCTCTTCCTCCTGCCACTCCTCGTCCTCGTTAGCGGTTAGCGACGTCCTCGTCCTCCTCACAGCTCCTCGAAGTAGGATCGAAGTTATTAGGTGCTGTTGGCTTCTTTGGCACTTCCAGAGGCCTCCCGAGAACGCTGATGGCCTCCAGGGACCTTTGTAGACCCCTGTGTACCAGTAACTCCACCTCGTCGCACCAACAGCGATGCCAAAAGAGCGTTCTGGGTATTTTGCCTGAGACCTCGTACCGCTTATGACTCTGATACGTGAAAACTCCCAGCAGGTACTCGAATGGAGTGCTGGTCGTTTCAAATTATGATTATGGATTTCGTGCCGCGCAAATTCCTAGAACGCGTTGCCAGCTACACGGATTGAGGGCGGGTTGTTTTCAACACGTGGTTTCTTGCGTAGCGCCACGTCTGTTCGTACGGGATGTCCCAAATATCTGCACGGATGCAGGTAAGGCGGCTTTCAGAATGTGGCGTCTTGATATTCTCCAACCTCCAGCAGTAAGACGGATAGTGAGTGCTCATTTGTCAACATGGGTTCTCGCTTGGTGCATCCTCAAGTTTAATGGACTGGCGCGCAAACATTGCGCAACAGTCTCGCGGATGAAAGGGCGGCTTAGTTTCCGAAGTGTGGATCTCGCTTCAGTTCTCCCCAGCTGGCCCAAACTTACTTTCCATACATGCAAACATGTATGACAGTTATACAGACAAAAAGCGGTTGATGATCGAATTCACGGAATCGTTTGAAGTAATTCCGAGTCGTCTGAGCATTTTGTGTGTTGTGTTCTTTTTCGGGCCAGAAAATGGATGGCGCTCGTTTTGTTCATACCCCCGCTCTCGCTTTAATGTGAGAACCATGGGGCAGTCATCTCTCAAATAATCCCCCACATAAAAAAAACAACAACAAAAAAAAAACGCCAGCGCGCAGGGACGCATGAGGACGGGACTGGGGACTGGAGTGTGTATTGTAGCATCGTTGGTGCTTGATTGATGCATCATAGGTTTCCCCTGGTCTTCCGAATCCCCTACCAGTATAAACAACTCCTCGCCGTTGCACCACCAGGCGTCGGCAGGGCGGGGCGCGCGTTCGGAAAGAGTTCCCCCGCCGCCTATGTCCCCGAAGCTTCAAGTTTCAAATGGTGTTGTGGATGGGCAGCGGCCCGTTCACAAACACGTGGCTCTCGCTTCAGCGCCACGCACATGCAACCACCCATCGCCCAACATCTACAAGGATTGAGGGCGGTTACCCGTTTCAGCAGCATTTTTCCCAAGTCTTGTTTTCTCGTCAAATTGTGTAGCCGAGGCGAAGCATTCTGCGGGACGTGCGAGGGTGGAGGCTGTTTCTTGGACAGCACTGGCATCTCGCTGGGGACGTCAAGCACGTGATCAGACGAGACGGGTAAATGTGCGCCAGATACGCTTCCTTGAGCTGAGCGGCCGTTGCTCCTGGCATCACTCATAGCTGAAAGGGTGCAGCACGTGTCCTTGTCAAACATGGGACTCTCGCCTGTGTGGCAGACCCACGGGACGCTCTTCTTTCAAGCGGGCACGTCTCGTCGTGGAGCTCCTGTGCGGGCTTTGCAAAAGGGGGCTTGGTAGGGGAAGGCGTGATGCAGCGTCGCTAACGCATCTTGAGTGCACCCCTGGTCCTCCCCATCCCCATCCTGCTCCTCGTCGTCACCGTCGTCCTCCTCCTCCTCGGTCTTGTCCTCCTCATCCTCGCCACCCGCGGGCCGCACCAGGGTGGTCACTCGTTGTTCAATGCTGTGAGTGCCCCTGCTGCCTCATCATCCTTGCCTCCTCCTCCTCCTCGGCCTCTTCCCCCTCCGTCTCCTTCTCCATTTCTTCATTTCCCTCCTCCTGTCCAGCTGCGCTGACCATCACTTGAGGTGGGCGAGAAGGAGGCGGAGGAGGAGGAGGAGGAAGAGGAGGAGGAGGAGGGGGAGGAGGAGGAGGAGGAGTAGAAGGATAGGAGGAGAATTAACTTGAGGAATATATATATATATATATATATATATATATAAAGACTATGATAAGCAGGGGCATTGGAGGAGTGCCACGAGGGAAGAGGGAGGATGAGGAGTTGGGAGGATGAGGGGGAGGAGGAGGAGGAGGAGGAGGAGGAGGAGGACGATGATGATGATGATGATGAGGAGGAGGCGAGAGAAGTGGAAGGATCAGGAACATAGAGGAGAGAAGGGCGGGAGGAGAGAAGTGGGAGGAGGATGAGGAGGAGGAGCAGGAGGGCGAGGACGAGGACGAGGAGGAGGAGGAGGAGGAGGGCGAGGACGAGGACGAGGACGAGGACGAGGAGGAGGAGGAGGAGGAGGAGGAAGAGGAGAAGTGCGAGATGGTCGTCGTCGTCGTCGCCGTCGCCGCTGTCCGGGGAGGGCCACCCTAGGGTTGGTCTGCGCTCCTGGCGAACCCGCCCGCCGCCTGGCAGTGCGGCAAAAGAAGAGCGCAGCGCCTGTGGACGTCCAGCGCTGCTCTGCGCAGCCTGCCTTCGGGCAGGCCTCGGGGTGTCGCTGAGTCGTTGGCAGACCATTGGAAGAGGAGTATATACATGTGTATATATATATATATATATATATGGATAAATGAATAAATGCGCCCCCCCCTCCCGGAGCGTCCCACACCTCAGGAACATATGGGGGCAACTCCCAGTACCGCGCCCCCGGGCCTCCCAGGGAGGCCCAAACGGCCCAAGGCGTCCGCAAGGAGCCCCCAAGAACGCGAAAGGACGGCCCAAGACGCTCCCAAGCAGCCCAAGACAGACTTCCGACGGCTCTCCAGGCTCCCAGGAGGCTTCCAAGAGGCCCCAAGAGAGTTCCGAGAGGCGCCCCGGGAGCCCACATCGTTGATTTTCATGGCTTTTGTTTGTTTTTAACCTTCTCTCGTTTTCGAGCTTCCAGCGCTCCAAGACGGCCGAAAAGGCCCCCAAGACCGCCCACAAGACCGCCCAAGAGACCCCAAGACGGCTCCAAGACAGGCCAAGAAGGCCCCAAGACGGCCCAAGAGCACCCCGAGGCAGCCCAAGAGAGCCCCAAGATGGCCCGAAAAGCAGCCCAACAGGGGGAATGCAAATCGACAATCACAGCTTTCCGCTTCAAGAGGCCCCCAGGAGGCCCCAAGAGTCCCCCAAAGAGCCTGAATAGGCCCCCAAGAGTCCCGAAGAGACCCAAAAGTTGCCCTAAGAGGCCCCCAAACAGCCCCCCAGCGACTTCCAAACTGCCTCCCAATAGCCCCCTGCACGCCGCTTAGGCCCCCCCGATTCCTGCGCACTACATGTTCGGAGACCCCACTAAAAGAAAATCCAGTGTTTCTCTTTTTGTTCAAATTCATCCCGAGCCACATTAAGACTTCGGGGCCACACTGCAAAGATTTTCCGAGGATGCTGTTGAACTCTCTGACGTTGTCTTGGCACTCTCTTGGGTCGTCATCGTGTCCTCTTGGCTGCTCCTGAAACCACCGTAAAATATCGAGGTCCCATGGGTTCACCTGTCCAGCCTAGCTAGAACGTCAGCGCGCGCGCCAAGGCAGAGACAAAAGAGGGGACCTCCCAAAGCCTTACGAGCGCTTTGCCCCAAGGTGGTCCCAAGGTTCTCCCAGAGGTTCTCGAGGCGCCCCCCAGGTGCCTGCGGAGACTCCCGGGAGGCTCCCAGGAGGCACCCAGAGCCCCCCAAGGAGGCCCCGAAGAAGGTTCCCAAGACGCCGCCAAGAGGCCCCCAGAGGCGTCACGACAGTCCACGGCCTGTATCCAGGAAACGTCTGGCCCACGGCCCAGACGCGGCAGTTGGAACAAAAAGGGAACTCCAAGAATTCATTTTTTTTCGAACTTACCCCCAGCTCAGTTTTGCACCATCGACCATGATGAAGGCCCCCCGTCACCACCGAAGGAAGATCCCAGGAAGCCTTCGAGGGCCCCAAATCATCGAACACCTAAAGGACATTTGTGATTTTGTGGTTTCCGCAGTTTCCCTTATGTACGCTTCCGAGGCCTGCGCAGGGACTCCAAGAAGGTTGTTAGATGCACAAGAGCACTTCAACAAATTAGATGTCATGCGTTAGACTGTTGAGCCTAGCTAGAATTTGAGCGCGCGCGAAGCGCGCGCGGTTGTTCGTATATGCATATACATGTAAACATACGTGTAAATATCTATGTACGTTTGTATATACAGTTTATATATATAAACATATAATATACACATATGTAGACGCATCATCCCGCAATCGCGGATAAGAGTGAGGGGGCGGCGGGGACGTCGGCAGCCTGCGAGGCTCTGAAGAAGCCCGCCGCAGGCGCCTAATTTTTACAGATTGTACCATCATTCCGCCGCCCGCAGGCACCGATGTTTCGTTAAAGCTCTGTGGGTGGGTCGCGGGCCGGGTCGCGGGTGGGTCGCGGGTGGGTCGCGGGCCGGGTCGCGGGTGGGTCGCGGGGTGGGTCGCGGGTGGGTCGCGGGCGGGTCGCGGGGTGGATCGCTGGCGGGTCGTGAGCCGGGTCGCGGAGGGGACGACGCCAAACAAACAAACAAACAAACAACAAGAATCCGCATCACGGAATCCCACTTCAGCCACGCACCCAGGGACAGTGAATGACCGTTCGTCCCCCTCACTCTGACACACATCTAGATACACATGTGTGTATCAGCTCCTTCCAGCCTGCCAGAGGGGGCCTGTGAGGGTCGTCTGGCCTGAGGTGGCACGCTTACGGAACGAAGGATGAAGTTGATAAGGACGCCAGAGAGGGGGAGGAGAGGGATGAGAGGACTGAGCAGCAGCAGTATCAGGAGCAAGACGGAGAGGAGGGAGAAGAACGGGATGAGGAATGAAAATATTGGCAAAAGGTGAAGGAGGATGAGGAGGAGGAGAAGGAGGAGGGTTGAGGGAGGTAGGGCGGAAAGAAGAGGAGGAGAAGGAGGAGGACACGGAGGAAGGGGAGGAGGAGAAGGAGGAGGATGAGGAGGAGGGCGAGAGGAGCAACACGAGGCGGAAGAGCAGGAGGATCAGCAGGACGAGGAGGACACATCGGCCCAGCCGCGAGACTCCTCAGCCTCGTTTCGGAGGCGATGTTTCTATCCCAACCCCCGGCTTTCCGACGAAAAATGAAGCGGCTAAGAAACGGAGGGAGACCCTGGGATACACCCCCAGGGGGCCTATTCGGACGCACCCCTGTCGAGGATGGACGCCCCCCCTGTCTATCCCAGGGTTGGCCCCCAAATTTTTGGTCCACTTGGAAGCCCTTACGAAGCCTGGGATAGGGGTCGACACATCCCCCGTGATCGTTCTCCTCGTCATGGACGGCGCAGGCGCAGGCGTAGATGTTGTGGCTCCGCGCAGGTGGTACGTGCCCGTCACGGCCGACGGCACCGCGGAGGCCAGGGGGGAGGGAGCTGGGCGGGGAGGGAGGGAGGTACAGCCGGGGCCCTGAAGAAGGAACCCTTTTTGTCGGGGAGGGGCTCCGTGTTCCTTAGTTGCTTTACAGTGCGCCTTTGGGTTTTCCTGAGGTTCTCCATGGAGCATCGGAGTTTAATGTATGGGGAAAAGGGGCCTCGTTCCTTATTTATCGTTCCTCCTCCTAGCCCTCCTCCTCCTCCTCCTCCTCCTCCTCCTCCTCCTCCTCCTCCTCCTCCTCCTCAGGGGGGGCAGCATTGCCTGGACTGTCGGCCGCTGCGCTCAGAGAAACCCTAAACCCTAAACCCTAAATTTCTAATCCTATAATTCTAACATTTCCTGGGCATGCGTGCAGAATCTCTTGTATTTTACACTACAAAGTGCCCGGTCCCCGTTGCGTTCCGCCTTCATCTATTGCAAAAATAGCATTTGCTGAGCATGCGTGCAGAATCTCTTGTATTTTACACTACAAAGTGCCCGGTCCCCGTTGCGACCCGGTTATGTAAACCGGCTCATCTACTGCAAAAAATAACACTTGCTGATCTTGAGCATGCTCCATCCTGAGCATGCGTGCAGAACCTCCTGTATTTTACAATACAAAATGCGACCCCCTTATGTACATGGGCTCCATCTCCTGCACAGCCTCGCGCTTCCTGCGCATGCGTGCAGAATCTTTAGCCCGTTAGAGCACTCGCGTGCCAACTGGATCGCACATCCGTCGTCGCCGTCGTCGTCGTCGTTGTCGACGTTGCACTCGCTGTGGTTATACCGAGGGGAGAGATGATCTTTATGGTGGGGTGGCTTGCGGGTGGGACTGACGGCCACCGCAGGTGGGTTCGCGGTCAAGGTGTACTCGTGGCCGCGCCTAGTAGACCCTAAATTTCTAATCCTATAATTATTAAGCCCTAGTTACCATAAAACCGGTCGTTATGCAATCCGGCCTCATCTATTGCAAAAAGAGTAATCTGTAGATGTGGTTTCTCCCAGTCCCTGTGTAGCATACCGGTCTACATCATGTTGCTGTTACTGCAACTGTGATGGCTCAAGTTCTGATGTGGGGGTGGGCGCCAGTCGTCCTCGCGGCCGCCAGGGACCTCACCACCCTTGGCCTTCATTACCAGACCGCGGCGATCGCCGCCCAGTGTCCGAGCCTTCCTGCGATCCCTGCGTGCCCCGAGCTGGTGTGCTCGTCGGGGCCTCCGCTCCCGGCCTGCCCGGCCGCGCACTGTGAGTGCACGTGCCCCAAGCCCGAGGCGGGCAGCTGGCTGCTGTTGCTGGGCGCGGGCGTGGCCACGGGCTGCGCGCTGGCGGGTCTGGTGCTCGGCGCTGCCGTCGGACTGTACGTTGGACGACTCGCGGCTCGCGGGTCGAGTGCATCTGTGTGTTCGCCCGAGGCTCTGCGTGACGCTCACGTGGTGGAGCCTGCCGCGGGACCAGAGACAGCGAGGGCGCTGGTGGTGACGCCAGCATCGAGGAGAGATGGCGGCCAGGCCGCGCTCGCTTGACATACGGGAGCCGCAGATCGTCGTGAATTTCCCTCTGGATGCTTTGCCGTGGCATCATCGGATTCTTCTGCACGCCATGGGCGACGGGCGCTGGATGTGCTTGACGCCAGATATGGAGATCACGCAGCACAACTTGAACGAGCTGCGTCACTATGTCCTCGATCGGAATGCGCAGTTTCCTCGGTGGGTGCTGGCTGGGCTCTATGCTTTTGACCCCATCGACCACGGGGAGCTGCTTGAGCTGAAGCGCCAAGCCCGGCAGCGCGCGGCGCTGCTGGGGGCTGGCGACGCCGAGGATGAGGCGGACCTCGCTTGGGTGCTCGCCGAGCCGCGGGACGCGAGGTTCGGCGAGGTGGTGCCTGCTGACGTGGTGGAGGACCCGAATCGTTGTGCCCATCTGCGAAGGAAGGGCATCGTGATGCTGGACGGGCAGGAGCGGATGATCGAGCTGATCACCCGCGACGAGAGGGATGACTGGATGAAGGAGCGCAAGGAGAGCTGCGTCGACATCCGCCTGAACGGCGACCAGCGGTCGAAGATCGGCCGCAGGGACGTGGACTTCCGCGACGCCGTGGAGCAGATGGAGGAGGTGGAGCTCGCCGACTACACCGACTTAGGGCCGCGCGCGATGGGCGAGTTCGTTACGTCGGTGGCCGTCGGCAGTGGGAACCTCACGAGCTACCAGGCCGAGTGGGAGCGCATGAGCGGGGTCTTCTCAGGGGGTGCCCAATGCCACGAGCATCGTTCGCTCCTGGAGATTGCCCGCCGTGCGATCTGCATGGACCAGCTCAATGTGAAGAACCTCCACTGCATGGAGGCACTGGTCAGGCGGGTCATCCAGATCGAGATGGCAGTACAGCGCAATCCACGGCATCCAGACTTTTCCGGTCTCGAGGATGCCGTCGGCGGGCCCGCAGGTGCATCGGGCTCTGCCGCCGTCCCGAGATACACAGAGTTTGTGGTGGCCCGCCAGAAGGACTGCGCCAATATATTGAAGCAGATGAGGTTGCACAAAGAGGAGCTGGAGCGGGAGCGCCCTTCGGACGACGGGGGGAAGCGGAACCTGAAGGACAAGGGGAAGGACAAGGGCAAGAAGAAGAAGGGCGGCCCCCCGGGCGATGGCTCGGGGGGCGGGGAATGACCGTGTTCCCTGGCGCTCACCAGCAGGGCTCTGCCGCGCCTGAAGACGGTGGGCGCCCTCGACGTGGAGCTGGAGGCCAGACCAAGACTGGATGGTGGCCTCGCGGACAGTGGCTTCACAACGACCCTTTTCCCTTGCCGCAGGTGGCCATCGACGCAAGGCCGTCTGGTGCCCCCCGCTCCACTGTGCGACGGTGGAGAGTCAGGACTGAGAGGCAGCGGCGAGTATCCGAAGCGGTTGACATGCTCAACTACCTCGCCGCCTCGCGTGTGAATTCAGGATGCGACAAAGCTCGACGAGTTAGGCCGTACGGGGGAGCTCCCACAGCAGTGCAGCGCAGCGTGCTGGAGTCAGTCCAGGAGCGGATCGACTTCTACGGGGACCCCTCGAGCGAAGCGGTGGACGGCGAGAGGTCCCTCCGGGAGATCCTCAGATCCACTGACCAGTATGAACTGGAGCCGCAGCATTTGGCGAGCTACGACGTCTCGCGCCTTAGGGTGTGCAAAGGGGACATCAACCCAGTTCCCGTGACGGACTTGCTACCTGCCGAGGCTGCAGGTTTTTTGAGACACTTCCAGAGCCAGATCGAGCTCTCAGAACCCGAGATCGCCGAGCGTGTCCGAGAGGCTGGGGGGATGCCCGAGCCGTACTGGGACCCTCGGCTTCGCGGTGATGCTGAGCTCCGTCGTGACTTTTTTCGCCGACTTGCCAAGATCGGCGTCGTGGGTTTCAGGCGGGTCATCAAGTCCCGCTGCGGCGCTTTTTTCGTTCATAAGAAGGACGGCAACATCAGGTTTATCTGCGACGCGAGGGCGACGAACATGTGCCATCGTCTCCCTCCTCGGACGGTCTTGGGAGGTGCAGCCTGCCTTTCGGAGATCGACCTCAGCAGCTACGCTACGGCTCTGGGAGGCTTTGGTGGCGTCTGCGAGCCGCGCTTCTCGGGAGCCGACGTCAAGGATTGCCTTTGCCAGCTCGCCAACGAGGAGATGGGCAGCTGGTTCGGGTTCGACTCCGCGCTGACCATCGAGGACTGGGACATGGGCATCACGCGCGTGTGGGACGACGAGGTGGGAGACTGGACTCCTGCCCGAGCAGGCGAGCTCCTGTTCCCCTGCCTCCGTGTTTTACCGATGGGTTGGGCCTGGGCGCTGTACTTCGCCCAGGAGGCTGTCACTCAGCAGGTTCGACGCTCTGCTGCTGATGGAGATCGGCAGCTCCTTCGAGACAAGCGTCCTGCGCCCCTCCTGCGCCCTGGGCGGCCTCTGGCCGCCGTGTACGTGGACAACTTCACGGGGGTGGGGGGCTCGGCCGTCGACGCCGAGCACGGGGTGCGGGCCTTCGAGGAGCGGGCTGCCGAGGCGGGGCTGGCCCTGCACGCCGCGGACGTGGCGGTGGAGGAGCTGGAGAGTTTGGGCCTGGTGCTGTGCGGGACCGACCGCCGCGTGCGCCAGAAGCCCAAGCGGGTCTGGCGCTTCTACTTCGCCACCAAGGCCCTGCTGAAGCGGGGCCACGCGACGGGGGCCGAGCTCCGCGTCTGGGCGGGGCACGCCGTGGCCCTCTTGGGGCTGCAGCCCTGCTTGCTGTCCATCCTGCAGGGCGTGTACCACTTCATCGGCGACGGCAGTCGGCGGCGGGCAGCGTTTCCCGCGGCGGCCCGCGGGGAGCTCCGCATGGCCGCCATCGCCTGTTTCTTGACCGAGGTCGATCTGAGTGCGCCCCTCGCCGACGAGGTCCACGTTTCGGATTCGTCGTCCTCCGGCTTCTGCCTGATGTACGGACAGAAGCCGCTTCGTGCTGTCTGGGATGCATATCGCTGGCGAGAGCGTTGGCGATTCGTGGAGGTGGAGGCCGACAGGAGCTCGGGCGCCTACACGGCGGCGTACCTCAACCAGCTCCGAGGCGTCACCGACGGCTTCGGGGCCACGCTGGACGAGGGGGCCCCCAAGCATGCAGACGCCCGAGTTCGAGGCGGTCAGCCGGCAGGAGCCTGGCGCGAGACCGAGCTGGGGAAGCTCCTGTCTCGCCGAGCTGCTGTCGGCCGCGGTGCGCCGCGGCGCTGGGCTAGCCGCCCCGGTCTGACCCAGGAGGTGGAGTTGCTCAACGTCGTGCCCGCTCTGCCGACCGCCCTCACCAGCAGCCTCGGGTGGACTACCGCCGTCGAGGGCCGTTGGAAGTATGACGAGCACATCAACGTGAAGGAGGGCCGGATCTGCGTGGCCGGCCTGAGGCGCTTTTGCCGGACACGCGCCCACCACGGGCACCGTGCTCTCAGCCTTTGCGACAACCTTGTTTGCTGCTGCTGCTTTGACAAAGGCAGGGCCCGATCACACGTTCTGAATTCGTTGTGCCGAAAGGCGGCCGCCTATAGCGTGGGCTGCCGAGTTCGGTGGCGGGTCAGGCACGTCCCGACAGACTTGAATGTGGCCGACGAGGGGTCGAGGAGGGGCCAGGCCCGCGACCCTGAGTGGCTGCTGCAGAAGAAGAGGGAGCGACGGCCTGTTGCCCCTTGGTTGCCGTCCGCGAGCGTCGGGGAGGGGGGCTCATCCTCTTCGTCCACTCCTCCCGATCATAGAGAACACGCCGAGTCACCATCGCCTCCCTCCACCTCACATGCACGCGTCTTTCTGGAGTTGTTCGCGGGCGCGGCGGGGTTGACCGCCGCCGTGCGACGTGCTGGGCTGCGGACAGGGGCCCCGTTTGACATCAAGAAGGGTGCCGAGTATGACCTCTCGAGGAGAAAAACACAGCTGCTCGTCCTATCTTGGGTTCGGTCTGAAAGAGTTTGGGCTGTACACTTGGGGACCCCGTGCAGGGCCTGGAGCAGCGCTCGACGTGGAGTCCGCAATCTTCATCGAGCTGAAATCCTGGAGCGTCTCGGGGTTGAGTTCGCGTTGTTTACCGCTGAAGTTGTTGTTCGTGAGTGTCAACGTTGCGGAGTGGGCTGGGGCATCGAGAACCCCATGACCTCTGGGCTCTGGAGTTTCCCTCCTATTGGTCGCCTCGCTGGTCTCCATGGTGCGTCTTGGGTGCGATTTCCTATGTGTGCGTATGGTGCTCCTCATCAAAAGTGGACTCTGGTGCTCGCGAACATCCCGGAGCTGAGGGGCCTGTCGGCTCCCTGTACCCATCGTCGACATGAACAGCTGGTGGGTAAAGCTCGGGCCCCTGATGGCTCTGGGGGTCACGTCTGGTGCAATCTCACGGCCCTGGCGGGTCAGTATCCGTCGGCTTTGTGCTCGAGATGGGCGTCATACTTGAGCGAGGTTGCACCTCTGGCCGCCCGTGGGGGCGATGCCCCTTGGGCCGGCGAGTGGCACGCTGCCTTGGCGGCACTGGTTCGGCCTGGCCGTCGTCTTCGTGCTGGGCGTGATGTTCCCGGTGCTGACGAAGCAGCGTGCGGCGATGCGGTTTGTGGAGCAGCCACCGACTACCTCACGCGCCACGGCGTCCTCTTCGGCAGGACGGGGGCCGCCGAGAGGGCCCGGCTCAGGAAGCGCGGGGAGGCTCTCGACCTCCCAGTCGTCCCGCCGCCGGGTCTCGGCTAAGGCCAAGGCCGCCAGCCGGCGTCGTCGGGCTGAGGGCAGTGGGCGTTCGCGGGCGCAGTTCATGAGGGAGCTGTCCGTCGCGGAGTCCACTCGGAGGCTGTACGCGGCGGCGCTGGAGGACTTCGAGGCGTGGTGCGTCGGGGTCGGTCGCCAGACCAACAATGCAAAGGACGCTGACGAGAATATGGTGCACTGGTTTACTCAGATGTTCTTCGATGGCATGGGTCCTGGGACGGGCCGCAACGGCCTGTTCGGCTGGATCTTGCTGCGAGGAGAGCCTTTTCAGGACGGACGTCAGTTGCTCCCACGGGCTCGGAGGCAGTTGAAGGCTTGGGAGCGGACAGATCCCGGGCTTGTTGGCCTGCCCTATCCGCTCATACTGATCTGGGCCATCGCGCTGGACCTGCTGAATCACGGGCTGGTGCGCATGGCCGCCTGCGCGGTGCTTCAGACCGATTTGCACTCGAGGCCTTCGGAGACCCTGGAGCTCTCAGAGGCCGACATTCTCCGTAGCCAGCCCGCGGCGGGCCGTGCTTTTGCCGGCCGCTGGGCAGTGGTCTTCGCGCCGTCCGAGTCCGGGCGGAGGACCAAGACTGGCCAGACGGATGACACCGTCGATGTCGGGGTGTGTGGCCGTGAGTGGGTCAGAGACATTGTGGCCGCGCTCAAAGACTCAGTCCAAGTCGGTGAGCGCGTGTTCGATTTTGATCTTGCCACCTATGAGAGAGAGTTCAAAGCCTCCCTGGTGAGGTTGAAGCTACAGGCTGTGGGCGGCTCGCCGCATTGGTTGCGCCACTCTGGCCCGTCCAACGATCGGTTTGAGAAGAGAGCTGACCTTCCGTCAATCCAAAAGAGAGGCCGTTGGGTGAGTTTCAAGAGTGTCACGAGATATGAGAAGCACGCCCAACTTTTGAAGCAGCTTGAAAAATGTGACGCTTCTCAGACTCGAAGCGCGAAGCGCGCTGCCAGTTCTTTACCTGCCAGGCTTTTGCACTCGCTTCGTGAGATGACGGTCCAGAGACCAGTCCCGAGGAATTCGGGAGGTTTGGCCGTGAGAAAAAGGCCTACGAGTTTCGGCTAGCCGATTTCCTTTTCGTTTCATTTGAGAATTGTCTTACATGCCTGCGTGGTGCCGCCTGGCACCCCTCTCAGCACTGCTCGACGTTTGCTTGGAGAGTCACACTTGTGGCCCGAGGGGCCACTCCACGTGCGCGCTGTTGCGTTTGGCTTCGTCTCCCGCTGCTGCGTCGGATATTCTTGCTGGTTAGCGGTCTTGGGACCCTGGAGAATAGTAATCTGTAGATGTGGTTTCTCCCAGTCCCTGTGTAGCATACCGGTCTACATCATGTTGCTGTTACTGCAACTGTGATGGCTCAAGTTCTGCCATCCTGCTTCCCCACCACCGCCCGTTCTCTTGGCCGTGAGAAAAAGGCCTACGAGTTTCGGCTAGCCGATTTCCTTTTCGTTTCATTTGAGAATTGTCTTACATGCCTGCGTGGTGCCGCCTGGCACCCCTCTCAGCACTGCTCGACGTTTGCTTGGAGAGTCACACTTGTGGCCCGAGGGGCCACTCCACGTGCACGCTGTTGCGTTTGGCTTCGTCTCCCGCTGCTGCGTCGGATATTCTTGCTGGTTAGCGGTCTTGGGACCCTGGAGAAATATCATTTCCTGAGCATGCGTGCAGAATCTCTTGTATTTTACACTACAAAGTGCCCAGCCCCCGTTGCGTTCCGCCTTCATCTATTACAAAAAATAGCATTTGCTGAGCATGCGCGCATAATCTCTTGTATTTTACACTACAAAGTGCCCGGTCCCCGTTGCGACCCCGTTATGTAAACCCGGTCCATTTACTGCAAAAAATAGCATTTGCTGAGCATGCGTGCAGAATCTCTTGCATTTTGCATTACGAAGTGCCTGGCACATGTTGCGTTCCGTTTCCATTTATTGCAAAAAACAGCACTTGCTGAGCATGCGTGCAGAATCTCTTGTATTACATACAAAGTGCCCGGCCCCCGCTGCGACCTGGTTATGTAAACCCGGTCCATCTACTGCAAGAAATAGCATTTGCGGAGCATGTGTGCAGAATCTCTTTTATGTACTACGAAGTGCCCGGCCCCCGTTGCGAGCAGATTTTGGTTTTCAAAAAATAGCATTTGCTGCGTATGCGTGCAGAATCTCTTTCGCCCGACCTGACCCGTCCTGTCCGTTTTGCTTGGCCGACCCGTCCCGTCCGTTAGGGTACTCGCGTGCGAACGCCCGACCCGATCCGTCGCGCTCGTTAGGGGCCGTCTGCCCGAACCGTTTCGCTTGTATTGGGCACACGGGTGTTGAAGTTTATGTGCGCCATGCCATGCTATAGCACAGTGGCGGGATAGGCCTACGGCAAGGAACAGTAAAAGGCGACGCGCACATAGGGGTCCCCACTTTGGGGGGACCCAGGCTGTGTTATGCCATGCTATAGCACAGTGGCGGGATAGGCCCAGGGCAATTAACAGTAAAAGCAACGCGCACATAGGGGGGTCCCACTTGTTGGGGACCCATGCCGTGCTATGCCATGCTATAGCACGGTGGCGGGATAGGCATAGAGCAGGTAACAGTACAAGACGACGCGCACATAGGGGTCCCAACTTTTTGGGGACCCATGCTATGCTATGCCATGCTATAGCACATTGGCGGGATAGGCCCAGGGCAAATAACAGTAGAAGACGACGCGCGCATCGGAGAGCCACCAATCGACTTGAACGGGGCTACGGGCCTATCTTAGTAGAAGACGACGCGTACCAGGTGCCCGTGGTGCAGGAATACATGCCAATCGCACACGTCGGATCCATGCCCAGATGATGTTACATCCTCAGTCACAAGCTTGATGCCGATCTCGGCCATGACACGACGGATTCCCCGCTTCTGGGCATCGGTGCGACGGATACATCCAATCGCACCCGTCGGATCCATGCCAAGTAAAAGGCGGGAACACAACAACTCACTCAGATGTTGTCATGGTGAAACACGGTGAAACATGAGGCTTCTGGGCCCGGGGGCGGCCCCCCCCGCCCTCGCGGGGCGGCCTTGCTCCCGACCATCATGGCATAACATAGCAAAGCATTACAGTGCGACTATCCGTGAGACACCGAGCAACTAGCTGGGGCCGGCGGGGTAGGCCGAACGCCACTATGAGAACCAGGATGCATCGGACCCATAATCCAGAAGACATAGTGTGTGCAAGCATGGCCGACTCCAGGAACAATCACAGAAGTGCAACGTGCACGGCGCGAACACCAGGAGATCAAAGAGGTGTCATGAGTCCATGCTACGCCATGCCAAGCTATGATAGAGCACGGTGGCGGAATATGCCGAGGCCGCAGAGAAGAATAAACAAGGAACGCGCACACATGGCGTACTGACAACAAATGCTTGCATGAATACCAATTACATGACCACCACAGGACAAAGCATCAGATAGGAGCAGGCCAAGAGAACCACGCGCAACGTAGAAATAATTTTCCTTTCAACGCCGATCGCACGAGACCGGAGGGCTGCGCAGAGCGAAACAGGCAGCCGAACAGGATGTGTCATAACCCGACAAATACGAGTTGGCAGGACAGTCTGCAAGAGTGCCTGAACGCGCACATAGGGGTCCCGACTGTTTGCGGACCCAGGAATAAATATGCCGTGCTATAACACAGTGGCGGGATAGGCCCACTGTAAGTAACAATAAAAAAGAACATCGGGGCCTCCCTTTTTTAGAGCCCATGCTATGCTATGCCATGCTATAGCACAGTAGCGGGATAGGCCCAGGGCAAGTATCCGGAGAAGACGACGCGCACATAGAGGTCCCCACTTTTGGTGACCCAAGCTGTGCTATGACAGCTGTAGCAAAGTCGTGGGATTCGATGTGGTTACAACGAGGGGAGAGATGATCTTTATGTTGGGGTGGCTTGCGGGTGGGAGTGACGGCCACTGCAGGTGGGTTCGCGGTCAAGGTGTAATCGTGGCCGAGCCTAGTGGACCCTAAACCCTAAACCCGAAACTGAAGCGCGACCCCGTTGGGTCGCGCTCTCGACCTCGAACGCTATCTGTGGCGAGGAGCGAGCGATAGTCGAGCTCCCAGAACGTTCTCAGGCCGACGCCAGTGCTGCGCTCCGCCAAACAGAAGAACCCTTAACCTGAGCGGCATTTGCTCAGGACTGTTCCTTGTTGGTCCTCCGGGACTCGGAGGTCGCCTGGGAGCGCCTGGGAGCGCTTGGGAGCGCCTGGGAGCGCCTGGGAGCGCCTGGGAGCGCCTGGGAGCGCTTGGGAGCGCCTGGGAACGCCTGGGAGCGCCTGGGAGCGCCCGGGGCCGCCTGGGAGCCGCCTGGGAGCGCCTGGAAGCGTTTGGGAGCGCTTGGGAGCGCTTGGGAACGCGCCGGGAGCGCCTGGGAGCGCTTGAGAACGCTTGGGAGCGCTTGGGAGCGCTTGCGAGCGCCTGGGACCTTGGGAGCGCTTGGAAGCGTTTGGGAGCGCTGGGAAGCGCTTGGGAGCGCTTGGGAGCGCTTGGGAGCGCCTTGGAGCGCTTGGGAGCGCCTGGGAACGCCCCAGGAGCGCCTGTGAGCGCTTGGGAGCGCTTGGGATGAGAGCGCTTAGGAAAGCGCTTGGGAGCGCTTGGGAGCGCCTGGAAGCGCTTGGGAACGCTCGGGAGCGCTTGGGAGCGCCTGGGAACGCTTGGGAGCGCCTGGGAGCGCTTGGGAGCGCCTGGGAGCGCTTGGGAGCGCGCCAGGGGGAGCGCCTGGGAGCGCCTGTGAGCGCTTGGGAACGCCGCGGAGCGCTTGGGAGCGCCTGGGAGCGCCTGGGAGCGCCTGGAAGCGCCTGGGAGCGCCTGGGTGCGCGTGGAGCGCTTGGCAACGTGCTGAGATCGCCTGGGAGCGCCTGGGGGCGCTTGGGGGCGCCTGGGAGCGCTTGGGAGCGCATGGGTGCGCTTGGGAGCGCTTGCGAGCGCTTGGGGAGCCCTTGGGAGCGCTTGGGAGCGCTTGGGAGCGCTTGATAGCGCTTGGGCCCGCCTGGGAGCGCCTGGGAGCGCTTGGGATCGCTTGAGAGCGCCTGGGAGCGCCGGTGCGTCTTGGAGCGCCTGCGGGACCTTGGGGGCGCGCCTGGGTGCGCTTGGAAGCGCTTGGGAGCGCTTGGGAGCGCTTGGAAACGGTTGGGGGCGCGCCTGGGAGCGCTTGGGAGCGCCTGGGAGCGCTTCTGGGAGCGCTTCTGGGAGCGCCTGGAAGCGTTTGGGAGCGCCTGGAAGCGCTTGGGAGCGCCTGGGAACTGGGCGCCTGGGAGCGCCTGCGGGGCTTGGGAACGCTTGGGAGCGTTTGGGGGCGCTTGGGAGCGCTTGGGAGCGCTTGGAAAGCGCTTGGGAGCGCCTGGGAGCGCCCGGGAACGCCTGGGAGCGCCTGGAAAGCGCTTGGGAGCGCTTCTGGGAGCGCCTGGGGGCGCCTGGGAGCGCCTGGAAGCGCCTGGGCGTGAGCTCCAGCAAGGTGTACTGCCGCTCGGGCCGCGTGGCGCGCCCAAGCATTGTTCTCCAGGGCTCAGCCACCCGCCAGCACTGCGGCTGTGGCGCGTCGGATGTTCCAACACGGGACCGCCTGCAAGACCCCCCCCTTCCTCCGAAGGGGGGGCCAAGGGGGGGTAGCTGGACCGACAGTTGATGCTTGTAGAACATGGTCGCCAGCATGGAACTTCCCCCCGAGAGAAGGGGGGAGCGAGGGGGGTAGAAGAACCCTAAACCCTAAAGGGGTACTT